TCATTCTAGTTTAAAAAATGTAATCCTAGGAATGATATCTTTATTCCAATTTGGTAACTTTTTTTTTGTACTGGGTGTTTGCTCAGAGTCTCATGCTTGCCAGGCCAGCCCTCTGCCAGCCTTTATTCCAGTGTGGATCAGGTGATTTCTCTTGAACTAATCCATTATATTTATTAGGGTGGGAAAGTAGGCAGGACTACCAGAGCATATATTCATGAGAGCATTGCCTGAATACAGTGTTGTGCTGTAGAGACCTGCTTATGTATGTACGGTGCATGTTCCTAAAAAATAAAAAGTTTCTGTGATTATTATATTCACTTCATCTTTCAAAAAGTTGTTTTCCTGGAAATAATAAATTATGTCACTTGGAGGTTGATAATGCCTGGTTTTTAGGGTGATTGCTTCCTAACATTGTACATTAGAAATTTATCTTTAATTTTCTTCAAATCTGAAGTCATGATGCTCTTTATGATGCCAAGTAACATTTCTAATTGTCTGTTGTTGCTTTTTTTTTTTTTTTTTTTTTACCATTTTCTTAACGGTACCACATTTTGGCATTTAAACATCCAACATGATACTGTCTAACTATACTCATGGCACCTTGTGTATCTTTTGTGAGTCACGAGAGAATAAAATTAATAGTAGAAAAGAGTTGACTGAGTGGATCTATTTTTTTGTGGTAGAAGAAATCAGCAGATCAAGTGCCAAACTGAAGAAGGTATACAGTGCATGGTAGTATTTGTGATTGAATGAAAATTTGGATTCTTATATTAACTGACCATTGTAATAACTGCATTCTTAAGTGTCAAGGTGACTATATATCCTGAGATAGTGCTTTTAACAAAACAGCACCAAATGTGTATATACGTAGAAAAATAAAGTTAAAATGATACTCTGTTTGTGTTAAATTTATAGAAAACTTCTCACTTTTTACCTAAGGGTGTTTTTTTCTCCTTGTTCTGGTGGCAGAGAGGTAAAGAAAATGTAGTTTTTATAATTAGAAAAAAGAGTGAATATGATCAAAGTGCATTATATGTATGTGTGAAAGTTTCATCATGAAACCCATTATTTTGTACAGTTAATGTATGCTGATAAAAATGAGTAGGGAAAAATTTACATTTTATTAATCTTGGATATGGCATGAAAAGAACGCTTGAGGGGAGATTTAGGTTCTGTTGTGATTTATTATTTCCTAGCTGGGTTCTAAGACTTTACTTATCTGTAAATTGGGATTTCTTTACCCTGAAGGTTGTTGGTAGAGCTTAAATGAGGTGAGTATTAAACTGTCCTGTAAACCATGAAGTGCTGTAAAGGTCAAGTGTGGGGTTTAATGTAAATCTTTGCATTAAGGATCCATTAGTGCCATCATGACCTGGCTGACTAATTTTTGGTGATGGTTTTGGATTCTAAGAGATGTTAGGTCTGTTGATACCATAAAGAAAATGAGGATTCCCTCCCCTTTGAAAAATGGCATCAAATAATTGGCAGTTCTTAATTTTCCATAGAAGTGGACACTCAAAAGTATGTCATTGGCTCTAAGGGCAATATCTTTTTAATCAGTCAGGCCATTTCTTCATGCTGTACCAAGAACTCAGCTTCTACTCTTTGTTTCTAAAATATTTCTTATGATTGACATCATCGAATTTTTTAGAATGGTATGTTTTGATTCTTAAAAGGATATTGAAGGGAGTTTTAAACTACTTACCAAAATAAAACAGTTCAAATGTTTTATGACCGATAAATAATCTGTGTATGAAAAATAGTAAATATGGGAAAATAGAATGTCAGTTTAAAACAGCAAATAGGTTAGGATTATAGCTCATTGGTACAGCTCTTGCTTAGCATAGTCAAAGCCTTTGATTTACTCACTAGCGTTGCTAAAAAAAAAAAAAGCAAATATCAAAGTTCTAATTTCAGACAATAAAGTTTCATATAAACTCAGCACTTCCAACCACATGTGTGTGCGCGTGCCCACACACCACACACACACACACACACACACTCTCTCTCTCTCTCTCTCTCTCTCTCTCTCTCTGCATCAGGATATTAGTTGACTGGTTGACAGTCCTATTTATTTTTAAAATGGAGTCTTGCTGTGTTGTCCATGCTGGCCTTGAACTCCTGGGCTCACATTCTCCTATGTAACTGGGATTACAGGATACACCACTGTGGCCAGTTTGGGGTGGTGGTTTTATTGGTAAAGATATAGCAAGCATATAACTGTGGCTAAAATTGTTAAAGGGTTAATACTGTTTAATTTCATTTGTTTTCAGAAGAGTTGATTAAAGGCTCAGATCCTGACTCAGGTTTTTCCAAGTTAGTTTAATGATTTCATAAGTTGAATATCTGTAAATTTCTCTGGGTGAACAAACCTCTTTCATGTCTAGAGTACCTGGGGTTAAATGAAAGAGGCTCTATAATGGCTGTCTTTGTTTGTTTCTTTGTTTTCCAGGTGTTAATGTCAAAGTTTTCCTTGTCTTTTTGATTCTCATTTCTGGGTTTTTCATATCATACTCAAAGGCAGGGGTTTATTTTCTTTGTAGTGGCCTAACCTAATTTTTAATCAGATCTCTGCAGTATACAGTTTGTAAAAGGCTGCTACTGTCTTATATTCTGTAAGTGTGTTACTTATATTAGTGTAAGTCAATGGTATATACATTAGGAAATACATAAGTAGGTTTTTGCCTTAAAAATTTTAAATGTAGCTATCTCCACCTGGTGTTGGTTCATATTTATATACAGTAATTAGATGACTATGATTGAAATCTGTTCCATTGGGGGGACTATTTGGAAGAGCTGTGCTCCTTAGGTTGTAAGGAGTTTTCACCAGTTAAAGAAAATGGTGCTTACCTGAGCAGTACTTATTTTTAAGAATTGGGTAATGACAAAGTTCTTAGAAGTAATTTTTCTATTTTGAAAGTAGGCACTGTTTCATATGATTTGTGATTGTTTTTTAAAAAGACCTGGAGTTTGCTATAAATGAACATTTTGTACAGTGAATTTGGGTATTGTTCAGTAAGCTTATGTATGCTGAGTTTGAAGGCTGTGTAATTTTTGTGTTTTATACTAATTTGAAAATTATTAATCTATGTATGCCAATGATTAGGACTTTGAATTTGATCATCCAAATAGTTTTAACAAATATTTGAAGATCTTCTGAGTAGGAGTAGGGTTTATATGCTTGGGAAATAAGTCTTAACCGTGAACATGTAACTTCAGTTAACACTAAATTGTTGGAAAAAAGCATTTATATGAACACAGAAACATAAGATAGTAAAAGATACGAATCCAAAAATGATGTAAGCAATAATTAAGAAAGGTTGGAAGACTCATCTGGCTTGGTTAAGGAAGGCTTGGTGGAGGCTGACCTTGCAGAATGAGTAAAGTTAAGTTTGTTTTATATGTTTTAATAGGGAGAGATAAAGAGATAAGAGAAGAATAGGAGCCAAAGCCTATCTGGAATAAGTGTCTGGTAAAATTAGAAAGGTAGAGATTGGCTACAATGGTTGGACCTCTAACTTAAAACTAAGAAGATAGGAGAGTGGATAATCTTTGACCAGGATTGATGTGGTAAAAATGTCCTTTTACAAAGGTTAAATGTGTTGGCAGCATGCAGAAGTGTTAGAAGGGAGAATGTTAACCAGATAAAACTCATTTCCAGCTAAATTAGTATTTCATTATATGTATAATGCTATATAACATGTATATGTATAAAGAAAAAGAAAAAAAATATGGTAATGGGTGAAATTGTAGCTTGAACCAGAAAATGATCAGCAAATAGTGTGGATTTCTATTAGCAGATATTGATACTTCAAGATCTCAAATCACCCATCAGGCATAAAATAGGGACTAGGTGATAGATATAATGCATGGATATGTAAACATCATGTATGCTTTCTTCAAAGGGAAAAAATTCGCAGAAGAGGGAAAGTAAAGTCTGTGGCTGCTGACCTTGGTCCTGAATGATAGCTAAAGTACTGTTAATCTCAGCAGTTGATTGGAGTGTATAGTACAGTTCTTTCATGGGCCAGTCAAAAACCAGTTTTAACTAATACAATGCCTAGGAACTGCAATATAGTCTTGCTCACATCTGTTAGTGGTTAAGATCATGAATTGTGGGGCCAAATTACCTTGAATGAAAATCCCAGCAATGCACTTGTCTGTGTGTTACCTCTCTCTGCCTTAGTGTCCTCTTCTGTAAAACTACGTATCTGAGAGTTTGTGAGAATAAATTAATCCACGTAAAGTGCTTAGCATGATAAGTGACACATGGATAATGCTCTGTGAAGTTAATAATTGTTATTGGCCGTATGTTTTATCTATACTCTCATTATGGAGGGAATTCAAGAGAAGGGTGACTGGTTGTTATGTATTATGTTGTATGTTAAAACCAGTTCCATGGTATTGAATCTTCTTTGTCAGACTTTCGTCAGGTTACTGGCAACAAATTTTTTACCTTACAAGAAACAACTGCTTAATCATAGTAATGTAAGTATATTTTAACTGACATGTAGAATTAAGTAGATAAGAAGATATTCGAAGGAAAATGTCTTACCAAAATGGGTCTTATAAAACTTTAAGGTTATAGTTCTTTCATTGTATGTCTGATTGCCTATATATCAAGCGTGCGTGCATTTCTAGTATTTTAATGCCTTCATCTTTTTTTTTCCAGTATTAAAGCATGAAATAAATCCTCATTGTTTTTCAAGATTATTTAGAAGGACTTGTAATTGCATCTCAGCACCTAGGACAGCACCCAGTGCAACACAATATATATATGAACTCTGGCTTGAGGTTTGGGGTTTGTGCTCTGGATTCGGGAAAGAAAAGAAGATAAAGTTAAGGGGAAGTTTAAAGTCCTTGTGAGCCCTTATTCTAAAAGTATATAAAATGCAGATGGTTTCATGGATTGATTTCAAAATGTTTTACACTGGCTGTAGAACCCACTTCAGGAAGTAGTTTGAGTTAAAATGATCTAATATTTGTGTTTTAACTTTCAGCTTTGTGTTATTCTTGGAAAATTTCGCACCACTTGTGAATTCCTTGAACCTGGGCATTGCAAACCCACTTCTGTTGGGCCCATCTCCTTTGCACTTTGCTCAGATTAAGACTCAGTTGGCGCTTCAGCAGCTGAATGCCGTTGCCTCACATGGTTCAACACCACCTTATACTTTATTAAATCAGGCATTCTTGAAAGTAGCCATGTCCAGACCCAGGTTTAATCCTCGAGGAAACTTTCCACTCCAAAGGCCACGAGCACCTAACCCTTCTGGGATGAGGCCTCCAGGACCATTTATGAGGCCTGGATCTATGGGTCTTCCAAGATTTTACCCAGCAGGGAGAGCCCGTGGAATTCCACACAGATTTGCTGGCCATGAATCTTATCCGAACATGGGACCACAGAGAATGAATGTTCAGGTAACTCAACATCGAACTGATCCAAGATTGACCAAAGAAAAATTGGATTTTCATGAAGCACAGCAGAAGAAGGGGAAGCCTCATGGTACTCGGTGGGATGATGAGCCTCATATATCTCCATCAGTGGGAGTGAAACAGAGTTCTTTAACACAGGTTACAGAGCAGAGTCCTAAAGTACAGAGCCGCTATACAAAAGAGAGTGCCTCAAGTATCTTAGCAAGTTTTGGATTATCTAATGAAGACCTAGAAGAACTTAGTCGCTATCCTGACGAACAGCTAACTCCTGAAAATATGCCATTAATTTTGAGGGATATAAGAATGCGAAAAATGGGGCGCCGATTACCTAGTTTACCTTCTCAGAGCAGAAATAAAGAAGCACTTGGTAGGGAAGCAGTTTCGAGTAATGTGATTGATTATGGGCATGCAAGCAAATATGGCTACACAGAAGATCCACTTGAAGTACGTATTTATGATCCTGAAATTCCAACTGATGAGGTCAAGAATGAATTTCGGCCACAGCAAGGCATTTCTGCATCTATTCCTACTCCAAATGTGATATGTAATTCTATGTTTCCCGTTGAAGAGGTGTTTCGCCAGATGGACTTCCCCAGTGAGTCCTCCAATAATCAGTCTTTTTTCCCAGTTGAGAGTGGAACCAAGATGTCAGGCTTACATATTTCAGGACAGTCAGTCCTTGAACCTGTAAAATCTATCAGCCAACCCGTTAGCCAAACAGTTAGCCAGACAATGAGTCAGTCTCTGATTCCTCCATCTATGAACCAGCAACCTTTTTCATCTGAAATAATTTCAGCTGTAAACCAGCAAGAGCGGATCCCACATAAACCTGTGATTAATTCAGCTAATGTACATGTTGGATCGAGAGGAAGTAAAAAGAATTATCAGTCAGAGACTGACATTCCCATTCAGTCTCCCTTTGGGATTGTTAAAGCATCTTGGCTACCAAAGTTTTCACATGCTGATGCCCAGAAGATGAAGAGACTTCCAACACCTTCTATGATGAACGATTATTATGCAGCGTCTCCAAGAATATTTCCACATTTGTGTTCTCTGTGTAACGTAGAATGTAGTCATTTGAAGGTGAGTGTTTTTAAAGATCACTGTATAATGATGCTCAGCGCCCAACTTTTCTCAATTCTGATATGTATGCTGGTGCTAAAGAGGCATTAAGGAAATGACTAATTTTGATTGCAACCTCATACTTAGTTGTAATCTTAAATAGTTACGGCCTTAATACTGAACTGAGTGCTAGGCTTTTCTGCATTCCGGTTACTGGGCATATCACAGTCTGTCCGATTATTTTGAACTTTCAATTATCCCAGTTATGCAACATAAAATATATATGAGAAGTTGTGTATTCATAACACAATGTTAAACCTGAGGTATGTTTCAGTTCATTTAGCATAAAAATATAAAAAATTGCTAAAATCCATTTGTACTGCACACTTTTTGAGAGTATATTACGACCTTCCCATACTTGTCTTGAGCTAAAGACATTTAATGTTGGTTTAAATGTTTCCTGATTTTCGTATGGACCAGTGATTATTTTCTAGTGTTTCTTGAGAAAGAGCTTCATACAATAATTTCATAGCAAAGTGAGTTAAGATGCACTAATTATGGGACAGCTGTGGGCCCAGAAACAGAATAAAAGAAATCTGGAGAGGAAAGTAAGGAACTTTCTTGCTTAGTATAATTAGAAGGAAATATTTTACAGATGTGAAGAAGAATGTAAAATACACTATTTGAAATTAGTCATTGGTATATTTATTTGCACAGGAATTTCCAAGTAAACTTGATTTACTTAACGTTTGAAAACTACTGGTTCTTCTGTTTGCTAATGTAACTTGTAGATTTAGTTAGTAAATGGTGAGGAGGGAATGTTCTTTAGGAAGCTATGATTGTAACTTGTAGATTTAGTTAGTAAATGGTGAGGAGGGAATGTTCTTTAGGAAGCTATGATTCATGGCCATGTCCTTGAATTGGTTGTGTACGTTAAAGTGGCTTAAAAATCTGTAGGTGTTAATTCTCTTGTTAGTTTTTCTCTTCCAGTGCTACCTTTTTATTTTCTAGTATACGTTCATCAGGTTTCAGTCAACAAGAATCTGATACCTAGATCTGTTGCTATTGTCTTTAAGATTAACTCTAGCAAAAGAAATCAGTATTATGGATTGGTAGTGTAGCTGAGTGATAGAATGTGCCAGGCCCGGATTCAACCCCCAGTACCTAGGGGGAAGAAAATCAGAAAGCAGCATTCTAATAAAATAATAGTTACCTTTGAAAAATATCTCAGAATAATTCCTACCACTTAGTTGTAATCTGTAAGTAGCCCTGGATTAAGTACTGAATTGTTAGGGTCTCTCTCATTACTGTAACTTGGGCATACCATATAATTTTTCCATTTATTTTGAACTTTCATTTAGTTGTGATGTATTGAAGAAAATATACTTTAAAATAAAGAACTTGAAGTTTTAATTTTTATTCTGTAATACAGAAAATGTAAACATTTATTCAGTAAATATTTATTGATACCAATTTTGTACACAGTTCTGTATTAGATACTTGGCATAAATAAGGAGCTCTGTAAAATTTAGATGTTTTTTTAAGCAGTTTATACATTCTCATTGGGGAGAAAAATCATATCCAGGGAATTTTTTAAAATTAGAAACAACAAATGGTTTCGTGATTTTTTTTTTTTAAACTTGTTTGTGGAAGACTATATGGAGTAGTTTGAAGCATCTTGAATGATGATTAGACTTTATATATGCCTATCTGAAGAGGGGAGGGATGACATTCCAGATGGAACAACAACATGCTGAGCAACAAAGGTCCTGAAAGAAGACTACATTGAGGCAGTGGTGAATACACTAGAAATGAATTTGAAGGGCTTGAAAAGGTAGCCAGAGGAGTTCAGATTTGAGGTGAGAGGCATTAGGCAGCTACTTGAGTTTCTTGACAGGTGAAGTGACATGTTAACAGTGTTTTAGGGAGCTCTAAGTGTGCAGGTGAATAGGAATGAGAAGAGTTGGGGCAGGGCATCTTATTGAAGCTTCCTTAGTTATTCAAATGTAAGAGGAGACTGAATTAATAAGATAAAAGTAAAAATTAAGAGTCATTTAGTGATCATTAGAGCTTATAGATTTTCATTTTTCAAAAAAGACATACATTTTAATAAACTGGGATTCATCTAAGTAATGAATTCACTACTGAATGGTCAAATGATAGCTTGTGAACATGGATTTAGATGGTACCTACTACCTCTCATTTCTGTGATGTATTTTGCTATCTCATAAGTCTGTGTGTAGTATGTATGTGTGTGTGTGTGTGTGTATATATATATATATATATATATATATATATATATATATATATGACATAAATATGTAGCCAATAAATTTGGATTACCAAAATTGCAAGCTTTTTCCTACTAAGTAAATCTGACAGTGTCTTTGCTTCTCACCTGGAGTCTTTAATCTGTAGCCTGAAGATATACTTGAAGAATGCATTAATAAAGTGTAAAATAGAATATGAAATGTGTTTCCTTTTTAATTTGGATTCAGGTTTTAGAGGAGCGTTTCTTGGTATCCTATGTCTCTGACTGAAATAATTTGGCTTGAGACAGTACTGATTGACATTTTTTGACGTAGTCAGAGGACAGAAAGCAAGTTTTGATAAGAATAGGTGTTTTTACAGTTTGATCCTGAGCCTCCCCAAGTCTAAAGTCCTTGCAGTGTCTTCTGCTGAGTAGATATTATTACTTTTTCCTGGAGAGGCAGTGATTCTTTTGAACTATTATCTAATCTAGGTACTGTTACAGAGTCTAGAAATGAGGATGGCATAGATATATTTGCTGATGTCAAAGCAAGTAATGTTAGTAAAGCAAGCCTGTTAAGAAAGAGTTACATGTTTTTGTATGTATTGAATTGGAGAGCATATGCCTTAAAGTAAATAGGGCAGCTGTACTTTCAGCTGATAGTTGCCGTAAAAATGCATATACAATATTATTACAGCTTCATATTTTTCAAAAAAGTTGGAAATTGGATTTGGGGGTAAAATCTCTGGATTTATAAATGTTGGCAATTTATTCAAATAAAACACCTTCTGATCTATATAAATCATGCCCAACTCTCTGCCTGCCATTGTGTCTGGTATAAACAATGCTATTTGGTATAAAAAATGTCCAGATATTAAAAACATGGATTTAGTACCTCTAGAGACGCTTTATTGCTAGTCACCTAATTCCTTTCTCTTTGTATCACTGAGAAGGTTATGCAGACATTTCTGTTTTGTAGTCAAAATTAAGCCAGTGGGCTTAATGAAGTAATTCAGTTTTTCATGTCTTGTTGCTATGTGTTGTGAGTAGCATGCACTTTCAGATAGTTTTTGCCGAGGCAGAATCCTCAACTGTAGTTTAACTGTGGAAACTTCTAGCCTTTAGCAATGGCTTTTCTAAACTAAGATGTTTTTGAAGTGGAAACAAAAATTTTCCTCAAGAAAGGTTTTAAAATGTAGAACTGTTTAGTAAATATTTTGCCTTTTCAAATAAAACATTGAATAACTAACATATTGCTTTTAATTGAGTGTTTCACTTTTGAGATGTATCTTTAAAAATTGTATTGGCTTTTTTATTTTTCTTCCTTAGTCATACGTATTTTCCAGGAGCTATTTATGGTTAAGGATTGTAATTTTAGGGCAGATTTATTTGTAAATAAAATAATGTGTAAGAAAACATTGTTAATTGTAAAGCTGTATATGTAAGGGACACTGTGTCTTTTGAAATGGTGTTACTTTCCTTTAAATTTTGAAAATAAATTAGATTTGATCAGCAGCAGTTCTTCATATTTTTACTAATCTTATTTCCCAATATAGTGAGTACCTTGTTTGGAATGCTACTGGCCTAAGTAGTATTTTTTGGTGTTGATATTGTTACCTTAAATTTTAGAGATGCTAAGTCATCAAGATACTGTATTTTGAAGGTGCCGTCTCATAAGTACCACTTTATTTCTTTGGAATGTTTTTATATTTGAGATTAAGTTATTTTCTATACTTTTATTTTCTCCAAGCTTAAATAGATAGAGTTCAAAATAATTGTCTTTGCATATGATTTTTTTAAAAACAGGTTTTTACTAAAATACTTTAAAATGGGATCAACAAGGTATGGTGTTACATGGTTTGTTTGGAGGCATTTAATTTTTGTACTTGAAAATTATTGAGTAGCCAAATAATTACATTTGTTAAAACTTTTTAAATCCTTTGTAAATTAAAAAAAGCCTAAATCATTAGTCAACATGGGGAATATTTTAATTTCAGCACTTCTCTCCTTTTACAATAGGATTGGATTCAGCATCAAAACACATCTACCCATATTGAGAGCTGTCGGCAGTTACGTCAACAGTAAGAACATTTTTTTCTTATTATAGGTGTCAAATTTATAAAATAGTTAATGCTCAGATATAATTGTTAAATTCTTTTAGTGTGCTACTTTGTAAAAATATTTTAAAGCTATTGCCTACTTAAAATTTAAATTTTATAGAAGCATATTTAATGTTTTTCCAAAAGAAGAGAATTTAGTGCTATCCCTTTTTTGACTCCTTCCCTACTCAATTCCCAGTTGATTGATTTTTCTTTTTTATAATTTATATCATTGATTTAATTTCTGGCTTGCCTTTACCAGAATGGTTTATCTATTTCAGAGCAGATATTGTTCCCTTTTGTTATCTTACCTGTTTCTCAAAGGTTAAATAACTAAACCTAACTCAAACCATGCAGCAGTATTTAATTTCCAACATAAAGCTCTCTCTTGGCCTAGAATCTGTTTTCATAATAAACCTTAAGTAAGAGATGAACATCTGTCGAGTTCTTCTTTTGCTTTTTTAAGAACAGTCTGTAGGAAGGTTCCTGCTAGCAGCCATTGAGGTGAAAGTGTTATAGTAGTCTTTCCCTATTCCTTAGACTAACATAAAATTGAATTTTGTTTTCCCCAGCGTCATTAAATAGTTCATAGTCACTAGACTGATAATAACATCTTCCTGCTCAAATGAATTTTGATTATACAGGACTCTTCTAGTTACAAGTGATAAAGCCAACTCAAAATAGTTTTGAAAGTAAAAAAATTTATTAGCTCATTTATTTGGGAAGTTTTCAGTAGTGGTTCTAGTTTCAGGAACAGCTGGATTTGATGTTTAACCAAATAATATTTCTGGAACATTTCTTGGCTGCATTGGCTTTGTGAGAACTCAGGTACACTGCAAAATGGCTCCTCATGCTTCTGGACTTAAGTGATCTGTATAGGTAGTATTATCAGAGGCTTTTTTTTTTAAGAATTTCTTTCCCCATAACTCCTGTAGAAGTCCTTCGTTTGACTTTCTTGGCCAGCTTTGAGTTAATTATCCATCTGTACACCAATGATAATGACTGTGGGAATAGGGTACTCTGCTTCAGTTGGTGTCATGTGCCTACTCCTGGTATTGGGAATGGTATAAGCCCTACCTGAGTCACGTAGACTTAATAGAAATAGGGGATGGTTTCCTTTGTAGATGCTGTACAAACAAGGTTGGCACAGGGAGATAATTTATTGTTTAAGTTAGCTATGATATGCCTTACTGCCACTGTAAATGGAGAATCTTTCCTAAGGAGTGAGTTAGGTATTTGCTATAGATAATTATTCATGCTAGTAAGAGGATTCTAGCTACATGCACTGCCATTAATTTACTAGAACAGCATGGATATGCCTCTTATGCTCTGTGTAGATTGTTTTTATTGTTGTTGTGCTGGGGGTACATTGTGACGTTTCCAAAAGTTCTTGCACTAGATCACAGTTGAATTCTTTCCCTCCATCATTCTCCTTTATCCCCTCTCCTTCCAGATACTTTTTTTAAATGCACGCACGTCCTTGATTTCTAAGGCATGTGCTTTCCATGCCTGCCACTTTCATGCTCTAGTCTACATTTTTTTTTCCTACCTTATCAGTTTTTGTGCTCTTGAGTGATTCCTTCAAGGCTTTCTCTCCACTACAAAAGTATTTACCAGGTAAATTACATTTTATTAGGTGCTTGAGATTCCCCCTCCTTTAAAAAAAAACATTAAATTACATATTTTATTTTAATTAATTCCAAAAAAAATTTTTTGGTTATACCAGGTATTGAACTCAGGGCAATACCTCAGGGCCTCACACTTCTTAGGCAAGTCTCTACCATGTGAGCCATGCCCCAGTCCTTGGGACCCTTGCTCTTTGTTCTCTTAAGGTGCATTGTGTCCCATTGTGTGCATATACGTTAATCTGCTTAATTAATCCCATATTGTTTTATGTTTAGATTCTTACTCCTTTTCTTAAGGCTTATGCTTTGTTCTTTGTTAGCTCTTTCTTGTTTGTGAGTAGTTGGTTAAGTTGAGAAGAAATATGGTGCATCAGATTTTTTTTTTTTTTGGTCATACTGGGGTTTGAACTCAGGGCCTCATGCTTACTAGGTGGGTGCTATATTACTCGAACCACTTCACCAGCTGTTTTTTTGTGTGTTGGCTGTTTTTGAGATAGGATCTCACTCTTTGCCCAGGCTGGCCTCGAACCATGATCCTCCTGATCTTTGCCTCCTGAGTTGCTAGGATTGCAGGAGTGAGCCCCCAGCACCTGGCCCATGGTGCATCAGAATTTTAATATTAAAAATAATTATACTGTGTTTTATATTAGTTTATATAAAATCTCATAAATGCTTTATACTAATTTAATCTTTGAAATCACCTGTGAAGTAAAAATATGATTATTCCTGATTTTGCTGGTAAGGAAACCCAGGTACAGAGAGGCAATTTTCCTACCTAATGCTAAATTTCCTATCATTTAGCACATAATTAACACATTAGTTTATCTACCTCATAGATCTTTGCTCCATTTTTTTCCTCCTCAACATTTTATTCTGAAAATATTCTAAGCCACAAAAATGTTGAAGGGGGGATAGTAAACCTTTATTAATTCTTTTGTATTCACCAATTGTTAACCTTTTCTGCATTTATCTTCAACATCTATCTCCTAAGAATAAGGACATTTTTCTGTAACTACAACACATTTAAAAAAAGATTAACAGTAGGTGAGTGGTATAGCTCATATCTGTAATCTTAGCTACCTGGGAGGCAGAAATTGGGAGGATTGCAGGCCCCAGTCAAAGTTAGCAAGACCCCATCTCAGTCAATAAGCTAGCTGTCTGGTTACATGAAGGTAGGATGATTGCAGCTGGCCCTAGGGAAAAACATAAGACCCTACCGTAAAAATAACTAAAGTGGAAAAGAGTAGGTGTGGCTCAAGTGGTGGCCCTGAATTCAAACCCCAGTACTACCCCATAATATATATAATTAACAGTAATTCCGTAATACCTTCTAATATATAGGCCAAATTCAGATTTTTCCATTTGTTTCCAGAATTCCTTTTATTAACTGTTCTTGCCTGCCCCCAATTCAAGATTCAGTCAAAATTGATGCATTGTGTTCTCCTAATCTAGAATAGTCTCCTCAGTGGACCCCTGCCTCTTCCTTTCCTTCCTGCTTTCCTTTCCTTCCTTTCTAAAGAGTGTTTTCACGATGTTAACTTATTTTGAAAAGTTCAGGAAAGTTGCCTTAACAGAATGTGTTACAGTCTGTACTTTTCTGTGTTCCCTCTATTAAATTTATTATTGTTACAAATAATAGGAGGTTGTATATTTATTATATTACATTGGGACACAGATAATGTCAGTTACTTAGGTTTTTTTTCCTCGTAACTATTGGGTTGTATTGCCTGCATTTGGGGCAATATATTTTGGTGGTCTAAACTCTACTTAATATGCTTTATCTTTCTGCCCTGAGCTGTGGAGATAAGAATATGTTTTACTGGTAACCTGATGAAGGACTAAAACACTTAGCAAGTTTTTTTTTGAGGTAAGATCTTGCGTTTTCTAGGCTGGCCTCAAACTTACTCTCTTGTCTGAACCTCCCGAATGCTGAGATTACATGGCTTGTGCTACCATAGCTGTTCAGCTTTTCAGCTTTTCGATATTGTCCCCCAACTCTTGTGAACTATAAACATGACAGCTCTGGAAACTTTTATGTGTTAACAACCAGTTATATTTCCACATGTGGGATAGCTAAGGCTTATACATTCTAAGTAACTGGGTTTAAGTTACATGGCCATTAAATGTCAGCATCTATATTTGAACCTAGTTTTGTTAGATTACAAATGTCTTGTTTTTAAATACTGTCAAGAGACTAGAAACTTATCTTCCTGGAAGATACCAAATAATGAAAGTTTTACAATGTGTGAAAGTAGATGAAACAAAATTATACATGTGTTGGAAATTATGGACTCTAGGTGATGGGCACATTGGATTAAAGGTAACATTTTTGTCTTTGAAGTTTGGTCACCTCATAGGTAGAAGGTGCTCCAGGCAACATGTCTACTTTCAAAGCAGGAAGAAGGAGCCAAAAGTCTCCTCAAAATTCTGTCAGTTGTCTTGTGTTTCATTGGTTAGGACCTTTTACTAGCTAACTGGTAGGGAGACTGGAAAAGCAAGTATTCAACTTTTTAGGCTTTTGTATTAGAGACAGGCAAGGGAAAGGGGAAATGAAAATTGTTGGGTTAACTTATTAACAAGATCTGAGGTAAATAGCAACAAGGAAAAAGCACTTTATTTCTTCTAAAGGTTTTGACCTAATTTTATTTTTCTACTAGTTGATTTTTGAGTATGATGCCTCTGTTTTGCCACCTGACTTTCATCTTGTTACTAAAATAATATTCTTGAGTATTAGTGATTTAATATATTCACTGTCAAGTTACCTATTGGAGTACACATTCTTCAGAAAAGTTGAGAAGAAAGATACAATCCTTCTTTGCTTTCTGTGATATTAGTATCCTCTTTTTCTGTGATTTCACCTTATTTTTCATTGTGTTTTCTTTTTCTGTTTCAGTGTCGGTATGCATAAAATTCTGTTGTCAGTGCTCTTGTTTCTGTATCTACCCTGTGTTAGGCTCTTAAGGTCTAAATTGTTCAACCCTTATCTTTCCCTTTAATTCCAGATAATCATTTACAGTTTTCCTAAAAACACTCATACATTATCCTTACTTCAGAAATGTTTGTGAGTTTCCATAGCTTCTTTATTATTTATTTATTTATTTATTTTGTGTTACTAGAGTTTGAAGTTGGATTTGTGAGGCAGGCTCTACCACTTGAGCCACACCCTTAGCTCTGCCTATTGCTTTTATTTGTTTGCAACCTCTTACCTGATTTCAGGGTTTTTTATAATCCCTCCTCCCAAAGATAGCTTTTCCAGGTTTTTTTCTCTTTCATAATTCTTTTCCACCATTTCCATGCAGTAGGCTAGTTCCTGGGATAGCCTCTATAATTAATACAACCTGATCCATGCCTGTTGATGAGTCTTTTTAAGGACTATCTGAAAAGCAGTCTGTTCTGTCATTGTTCCCCTAGTTCCTCTTACTTAGATGTATTTATCCAAGGATCACCTGGTACAACTTAAGGGTCATAATTCATATGTATTCTGTGAGATGCCATACAGTAAGAATAGTATCACTTGGAGTTCTGTAAAGTGGATGAATTGTCTTTGTTCTTTTAACCCCTACCTAAGCTTCTATCTTATACCTTTTTTCTGTGCCACTTTTTTGTGTGTGCACAAAAAAAATTGACTTTAGTAAATTTTGAGGCCTTGGGGAATGTGCTTCCCTGATATACCTACTAGCATCAGTACTTTAATTAGGTACTGAATTAGACACAAAATATTTGTTTCCAAGAAATTTTTCATGTTTCAGTATATTATTACTGTGTAAACTTAGGTTTTGAATGGTCCTGATATATTACAGGTAAAGATTAATTGAGCCATATTAATCTTACATAAACTGTTTATTAATGTTGTTTATTTTCAAAATAGATACCCTGATTGGAATCCTGAGATCCTCCCATCAAGAAGGTAAAAATTTTTTTTTTTTTTTGATGGGACTGGGATTTAAACTAAGGGCTTTATGCTTGCAAAGCAGATGCTCCAGCACTTGAGCCACACCTCCAGTCCATTTTGCTTTGATTATTTTGGAGACAGGGTCTCTTGGAACTATTTGCTTGGGTTGGCCCATTCTCAGTCTCCCAAATAGCTAGGATTACAGGTGCAAGCCATGGTGTCCAGCAAGAAGGTAAACATTTTAAAGTAGGATTATTACTGGATATCCTTTTTAAGTGCAAACAGTTTATTTTTGACAAGTTATTCTTTAGAATTGTGTCTTACACCATTTTTACTTTTAAACAGTGGGCAAATGCAAAAACCTCTACAAATCTTTCTTAATCCAACTTAAATGTGATATTTTCCCTCAGTGTACTTCTACTTTCTTTATTAAAATATCTTATTCTGACTTTATTATTATTTTAAGTTTGGGGATCTTTGATTATAAATAACTTGAAGCCTGGGAGTGGTCTTAATAAGCTCTGCATTGCCTAAGGGTCTCTACTCAATTTATCTGTATATACACATGTACAAAAATCAGTGAAATGTATGTAGATGGCATAATTTTTCAGAGAAAAAGTTCTCAAAACCTTTTGTTTATATAAATTATGTCCTGGATTCTTAACACAGCTTAATGCTTGCAAAACATAATTGGTGCAGGGAGAAGGTTAAGAAATGGATGACAGTACTCTTCTGTAAACTAGGAAAAAAAAAAAAGGGGGTTCCAAGCAGTTAGAGTGCTGATTGGATTGATTCATAACTACCAGGCTGAATTACATCATAACAAAAAGGGTTTTTTTTGTTTGTTTGTTTTAAGGAAATACCTGTTATCAGAGTCTGGTATTGGTAATCTGTTTTTAAGAATGCACTGCTGTTACTTAGTATAATTTAAATTTACGTTGAATTACTGAGTTCTTTTTATTCTGTGCTTTATAGAAGTGAAGGCAATAGGAAAGAAAATGAAACTCCAAGACGACGGTCTCATTCACCCAGTCCTAGGCATTCTAGGAGATCTAGCTCAAGTCACAGGTTCCGTCGATCTCGAAGTCCAATACGTTACACATACAGACCAAGAAGTCGAAGTCCAAGAATATGTCATCGTTTCGTTTCTAGATACAGATCCAGATCTCGTTCACCATATCGAATTAGAAATCCATTTCGAGGTAGTCCAAAATGCTATCGATCGGTTAGCCCTGAAAGGATATCAAGGAGATCAGTGAGATCATCAGGTATGCTAATGGCCATGAAACAGTAAATCTACTTTTGACTAAATTTTTTAGTTCCTTTTGTTTGGGTTTTAGGAAATGAAATGTTCTATTTCATTAAATTTTAAAATTGCCACATGAAATTTAACTGATACCTCAGGAGTCCATTATTCTTATAACTTTGGGAAGAAGAGTAGGAGAGCCTATCTGTCCATCAACATAAGATTTAAAAACAGAATGTTACAGGACTCTCAGAGTAGCCTAAGTGGTAAAGCATGTGCCTAGCAAGCATGAGGCCCTGAGTTCAATCCTTCTAACACCAAAATTGTAGCTTGCCTTAATAACTGATAATAGATTTCCATGAATTCATTTAAAACTTTTAAAAAGTACTCAAATTTTGAATAATTATGGTTGGTTGCGGCGGGGTGGGGGGGGGAGCAGGAGGGTGTTGGTATTGGGATTTGAATTTGAATTCAAGGTCTTGTGTTTGGCTAGGCAAGTGCTCTACCACATGAGCCACTCCCCAGCCCTTTCTGTTTTAGCTGTTTTTTTGAATAGGGTCTCACATTTATGCCCTGGCCAGCCTGGCCATGATCCTCCTATTTATGCTTGCTACTTACTTGGGATAACAGACATGTACCATCATGCCCAGGTTTTGACTGGTTGAGATGGGGTCTTGTGAATTTTTTCCCAGGCTGGCATCAAACTGTCATCCTCTAATATCACCCTCCTGAGTAGCTAGAAATTAAAAGTGTGAGCCTTGACACCTGGTAATGATTATATTTTAACTTTTCTTAGTATCTCTTTAATGACTTTTCCACTAGGATGGATATGAATGGATATGTGTATGAGAATACATGTATTGTAGAATCTGTATATGTACATACAAAGAGACCATTGTTGATGTTTAGGAAGTACTTTGAGCAGGTTTTTATCATATTCAGTATTCTAGGAGATTGAATGTAAGTAGAGATATTTACAAATGTGTAAAATAGCTATTCTCAATATGGTTCAGGGTTCCACAAGATCTCTTCCAAATTCTGTGAGGTCTTTTTCTTTTCTAACTACATATCTGTTGTGAGTGTGGATTTTCTTTATACTCATTTGGGAATTATGTTTTTAATAAAATATTAATATAGGAGTTTATTATTAAATGAATTAGTTTTAAAATCCTGTTTTAAGTTTTAAAGTGGCAAATACCAATAAATACAACACAAACTCTTTAGTTTACTCGGAGTGTAAAGAATCCTATAACCCAAAATTTGAGGACCATGATATAAAGGAAGCTCACTCAAAAAAGGAACTTCATGTAAAAGTCTTTTCATGAACAGTTAAAGACTTAAAAGAACTTTTTTTTGTGTGTATGTTCCCCGTTGGACTTGAGAATGACTCTGTGTGATAAATGTTAGTGTTTTTTCATAATGTCAGAAGGTAGTTCTTTTAGTTATTTTCAACTGAAGTTGTTCATATGTCTTTTTTTTACTAGAGAGAAAAAAAGCATTAGAAGATGTAGTAGTACAACGATCCGGACACGGGACAGAATTTAATAAGCAGAAACATCTTGAGGCAGTTGACAAAGGACTCTCACCAGCACAAAAGCCAAAAGTTGTCAGTGGAACAAAGTTATCAGTTAAATTGTTAAGCTCCACAAAGAGTGATGCAAATTTAGGACATTCTACTCGTAAATCTAAGAATCTTGAAGATGACGTCTTATCAGAATGTAAACAGGTGTCTGGTAAAACTGGTTCTCTTCAGCGCAAGGTCAGTAATTCCTTATCAGTGTAAGTATATATATATTTTTAAAACTTAATTTTTAAAAAATTTTTATCTTTTAATTTTTTCATTCTTGTTGTGCTGACTGGGGGTACATTGTAACATTTACGAAGGTTCTTACAATGTATCAAATAAATATAATCCTACTTGAATTCACTCCTGCCACTGCTCTCTTTCATCCTTCCTCCCCTAATTCCTGGAACAGTTTTAACAGATATTGTTTTTATATTTACATACATATGTTTACATTATTTGCATCATATTTATCCTCCTACTCTTTTCCTGCCATTTCCCCCCCACACCAGTGCTGAACCCCTCCTCCTTCCCCCCTCCTCCTGGCAGAACCTGTTCTGCCCTTCTATTCTCCGGTTTATAGACTTTAGGGTTTTTTTGGTTCGGTTGGTTTTTGTGTTTTTTTTTTTTTTGGTGGTACTGGGGTTTGAACTCATGACCTCACGCTTGCTAGACAGGTGCTCTACCACTTGAGCCACTCTCCCAGCCCGCATACATTTGTTACTAAGTCAGAAGAAAACAATTATCCAAATTTTTATTTTATATTTACAATAAGTTTGAAATCATGACTTTTTATTTTATTCATATGTGCATACAATGTTTGGGTCATTTCTCCCCCCCCTGCCCCCCACCTCCCTCCCCCCCCCCATACCCCCTTGCTACCGGGCAGAAACTATTTTGCCCTTATCTTTAATTTTGTTGAAGAGAGAGTATAAGCAATAATAGGAAGGACCAAGGGTTTTGCTAGTTGAAATAAGAATAGCTATACAGGGAGTTAACTTGCATTGATTTCCTGTGCATGTGTGTTACCTTCTAAGTTAATTCTTCTCGAGCTAACCTTTTCTCTAGTTCCTGGTCCCTTCCTCCCATTGGCCTCAGTTGCTTTTAAGGTATCTGCTTTAGTTTCTCTGCATTGAGGGCAACAAATGCTATCTAGTTTTTGAGGTGTCTTTAATATGTAGAAAAGATCCATTAAAGGGCTGAGATTAATAGCAGAAGAAATTATATAGGGCATTATTACTGTTCTTTGTGGCTTATTTTTTCTATTTTTAATTTTCTTTCACCCAAAAATTAGCTTCGGAAAGAGCAGTCTTTGCGTTACAATTCAGCTCTTCTTATATCTGAACTTCCAGAGGATGGTTGTACTGAAGAAGTTATTAAAAAAGTATTTCAGCCATTTGGAAAAGTTAATGATGTCTTGATTGTTCCATATAGAAAAGAGGTGAGTTATTCAGTGTATTATAAAGATAAATGCAAAGGTTTTACTTTATTGATTCTACAAACTGTGTGTGTCTCAGTGCTGTACTACAGTGAACTACATATATAATAGTTTGTTGATGTTTATGAAAGTTTCACAGCATTCACATGGGAAAAGCCCTTGTGAATGAACAAGATCCCAATGGATTGGCACGCTTATTCTGTAAAGGGCAGATAATACATTTAGCTCTCTGGGGTGACCATAGGATTACAACTACTTTACCACTATGCTATAAAAGCAGCTATAGATGTATAAATGAGCAAGCAGGGCTGTGTTCCAAAAAGCTATAAAAAATAAATGGCATGTTATGATCTATACCAGTAAGGTTATAGTAAAATAAAATGGTTTCCTTTTTACAGTAAGTATTGTTTGCATGGGGGTTGTATTCTAGTAACTCACATGATAGTTTTAGAAGGAAGAACAACCCTACACTAAGAACTTACTGTTGTGAATTAAGGCAAGGGAATGTAATGGTAGTGTAGTCATAATGCAAGAAGCCTTAAAAATGTCAGACTTACAGCAACTAGACCAGATCCTGGTTTCCCTCCTGTTTTTTACTTAGCCATGTCTTCCTATTTTCCCTTGTTCCATCAGCCACTGTGAATTCCTATGGTCCTTTTCTTATCTTGGTAGTGGCATGGAAATACTTTAAAATTAAATGTTCATTTTGTATGTGAAACATCCGTAACATTAAATCACACTTTAGTAAAACAAAAAGACTTAAGGAATAGATCTTGATGTAATTGCATAGTTCCTCAAAGAAGTATTAAGTTCATTTTAAAATGCAAGGACTTTTAAAGGTAGATTTTAAATGAAAAATTAAATTTTCTTTTAGGCTTACTTGGAAATGGAATTTAAAGAAGCAATTACTGCAGTCATGAAGTACATTGAAACAATGCCTCTTCTTATAAATGGAAAAAGTGTGAAAATATGTGTTCCAGGAAAGAAAAAAGCACAGGTAAAGAGAACTTAGATCATAGATGTTTTGTTGGTGGTTATTTTCACTTTTTTTGTATGCAGAAAAGTACATAAATGTTAAACCAAGCAGATAATTTCTGCATAAATTCAGATACAATGAAATTAAAAATTGTATATACACACACATATATAGCACTACAAATGGTATTAAGTGACAAGCAATACATTAGGAGAATGTACTTAACCATTTATAACAACGTTACTAAACATCTGAAACTGTTACCAAGATCACAAAATAGAACATTGACAACATCCTAGAAAGCCCCTTAAGCTTCTTCCAGTTCTTACACCCTCCCTCCTTTCTGTCCCCAGGTAATCCCTTACTTGATTTCTAAAGCCATAGTTGAGTCTTTCCTGTTTTGAACTTTCAATCAAGAAAAATCATAGACTGTGTATTCTTTGGGGCCTTTGTTTCCCTAGAAGTATCAGTGTTTATGAGTTTCTTTCTGGACAGTGTTCTTTGTGTTTAAATGTCTATAGATAATATCTATAGAATAACTTCAAAATTTTCAGTAAGTTTTGCTTTGTTTATTTGTGTTCTTTTAATTTTTTATTTGCTATAGAATGCCTGTTTTATGAAGGGTCTGTATCACACATTTCTCAGTAATAATTTAACCATGATAGTGCATGTAGATTTTCTTCATTCTTTTTGACTTCTGCGTGGGACTGTTTTGTACTACACAATTCCTTATTGATTGCTATTTAAGTTATTTCTAGTTTTTTGTTATTATAAACAAAACTTTGGTTAATTCCACAAAACTTTAGTTGACTGCCTTCCTCAGGCCATCCTTTAGTATTTATGACAGTATATGAGAGAACTCCTATTTCTCTGTTACCAGCATTCAACATCTTAATTTTCTCAGTTTTGAAAATCCAGCATGTGAAAAATAGTATCTAGTTTTAATTTGCATCTTCCTAATTAGTGAACTCAAGTACCTTTGTATAATTATTAGGTATTTTTTATTAACTTTTTAGTGTGTTGTTTGTATCTTTTCCCATTTTTCCATTGGATTTTTTAGTTTTTTTAAAACAGGTCCTAGTACAGCCCAGGCTGGCCTAAAACTGACAATCCTCCTCCTGCTCCATTCTCCTGAGTCCTGGGATTATAGGTGTGTGCCACCAATACCAGTTTCTCATTGAGTTTTTATCTTAAAATGAAAAAAATTATGAGCTGGTGGCTAATGCCCATAATCCTAGCATTGTGGGAGACTGAGATTGGGAGGATGGCAGTTTGAGGCCAGTGATGGCAAATAGTTGGTGAGACTGCATCTCCAAAATAACCAGAGCAAAATGGACTGGAGGTGCTCATTTTAATAGATACTATCTGCATTTTGTATGATTTCCTTCTGTGTTTATATGTTTCCTTCCATGTATATTGGATTTTTTTATGTTGCTTGTTATATAAGCATATATATTATTTCAAATTTCCATATTCTCAAATTTATTTGTATTTTTCTTTGTGACTTTTGCTTTTTTCACTTTTTTGTATTTTAGAAGAACACCTCTATAGCAGTGCCAGAAAGATGTACTTTTATTATTTTTAAAATTTATTATTTAATGTATGATTGGGGCCAATATTGTTTCCAAAACAGGTAGCCAATTAACTCAGCACTATCTATGCCTAATCTCTCTTTCCTTGTTGATTTGAACAGCTACCTGTATATATATGAATTGCCTTATATACACAGATCTGTTTTAGATTATTCTGTTGCATCTAATTATTTCTATGGTATTACTGTGTGGTTTTAATTATTATACCAGTTACTATAACTAATATTTCTCTTTCTAGTAGAATTCTAGTAGAATTCTTTTCTTTTGTTCTCTATTTAAATTCATTATTACTACTTTTTTTTTTTTTTAATTTTGGCACTGGGGATTGAACTGGGCCTCACATTTGCTGGGTAAGCACGCTACCACTCAGGCCCTGCTCCTAGACTTCATTTTGATTAATTTTGAACATTTACTCATACGTAATAGTATTAGGCTCAGTTTAGGTTCTCTGAATATTTTATTTAGATTTAATTGACTGCATTGAATTTGTTTTGATGTTTTTATAACACTTTATTCTAAAACATTGTTTATCTCTGTTTATTTAGTTTTTTTGTCCTTTATCAGTTTTTATATTTTTTCCATAAAATTCTTACACATTTGGGTAGGCTTATATATATTTATTTGTATAGTTATTAGATCTTTGAGTTTTTTCCTCATGTGTTCTGAGTAGTTACTGCTAGAGTAACTCATCATCCTAGTTTGTGCCTGCTACATGCATGCCATTTATTTCTGTTGTCTTGGTTGTGATAATGAAGTATTGGTGATCCTGATTATTACCAGATTTATCCTTTAGGACTTTATTCAGTTTCAACTTAAGAGAAATTTCACCAGTGGTTTATTAAATAAGAGGTATATTGATTTCATAATAAATCTGCAGATAAGTTATCCAGAGTTAATGTAGCAGCTCCATAATATCTTTAGGAATTTAATCTACTGTCCTCAACATATAGATTTCACCCTGAATTGTAAAATGGTTGCTGTTTCTTCTCGCATCATTTCTGTCTTCCAAGCAAAAAGAAAGGAGTAAAAATTAGGAGGCAAATGGATTTGAAAGAATTAGTTCCCCAGAAACATTGGCCTATTTAATTTGCCAGAACTACTTTATATGGCCACCTAATTGCAGAGGCGGTTAAGCAAGGATTTGAATACATAATTTTAAAAAGTTTTGACTTTATCCTATCAACATGTAAATGGTATTCAAGGGTTTGAACATAATGAAATGAATTAATTAGAATGATTTACCTTAAATGGACTGGAGAATGAGTCCAGCAAATGCTACAAAGGCAAAACCTAGGCCCATTAATGTGGACAGGAGATGAAAACACAGAAGTCCATTAGAAAACTCATCTAGTTAGTTCAGCTAGCCTGTTGTGATAGTGGTAATGGTTTTTGGTAGATTAGTAGGCTTGGAAATGGAAAGAAAAAGTAGCTTGTACCAATGACTATTAAGCAAGATAAACTGATCATTAAATTTGGAGAATTGGGGAGAAGGCCAGATTTGTTTAGACCTTAAAAGTTTAATATATGAAAATACATAAGCATATATTTAGGGAATTAGAATGTTTCAAACATATTAAAGTCCTCTTGGATGACTTTTTGGTAAGATTTAGCAAGATAATAACATAACTCCAGGAACCCAACCATATTTGCTGTCATAGTTTTCATAGAAATGAATATGGAAAAATACTAACAATAGATGGTAGAAAATATACTATTCTGCTGTCAGAAACATTGATGTACTTCCAAATAAATATGGTTTTAATGATGTTGAATTTAAGGGAGGCTTAGACAGTTAACTTGTGACAACTGTGATGGAGGAATGTGTTGATCTCCAGTAAAACTCTGGGTGTACCTTTGGATTGCAAGCATGTGTATAGTCTTTTTGGCCCATTAAAATAGTAAATGGAAGAAGTGAAGTTTCCCTGCTACACCAAGTCAGAAATAAGCTGGAAGCACAAGTCAGGAGACAGAAGGGCAGTGCTTTACCATTTTTAGTATGCATAGTCCAAACCAATGAAAAAACTTACCTGCTCACATGTAATGTTAGGACTGCTTCTGACTCTGACTGTGATTCACCTGACATTCTCTTTTTGCTGCTTTTCAGAAAGCATAAAGAAATGTTACAGAATAGATAAAATTCCTGTATATTAATATGGATTTACATAATTCTGATGGAAACTCAGGTTGGCTTCTCTTAAATAATAAGCTAACATATACCTTAACAGTGATCCTTAACAGTGATTCTTAACTCTTTTTGAACCACTCCCTCTATCACCATTACTAATAACTTAATGAAAGCATACATTCTTTTCTTACAGAGCCACAGGCCCATGCTCACAAAATTTTCTTTAAAGAGGCAGGAACCCTTGACATCGAAAAAAAAAAAAAAGTATCAGATTTTCCAGCAAACATCCCTTAGAGCTATAAATCCTGCTCTGCCTCAACCTGTACAAACAAACAAGACTTTAATATTTTCAATTTAGTGTTTTCAGCAATACATGGGATAGGATATCCAAAACTAAAGCAAGCAAAGTAAGACCTAAGATTTCATGGAAGTGAAGAGTAATGTTGAGGATGTGAACATTTGAGCATTATAAAAAATCTAATGAGTCAATAAGAAGATAAAGCCAGAAAGATATGATCAGAACTCAGATGAGAGCAAGTAGTTCCAAAACTATTTCTTAAGCATTTGTTATGTGTTTAGCATGTGGTGTCTGTAGAAGATGCAGTGATGAACAGGAGGTGTGGTCCTACCAATCTTGGTTTATTAGAGAGCCCATATTGATAAAAGATGAAAGGCATGGTAGGATGCACCTTCTAGACATAATTGTAATTCCAAACAGGACATCACTTAAGTACTGGTTAAGATTTTTATTTTTCATTGTTATGGAGGGACAACCATAGTGATCCAGGCTATTGATCTAACCTTAGGTGGCAGAGCAACATATTATGAGGGTTGTGTGGGAAAAAGATTATGACTTATAATTCAGTGCATCCATATCAAGTAAAATACTAGCATATGGTAGTACTGTACTTTCAGACACATACGGGCTCAGAAAGCTCACTTATCTTTTCTGAAATATTAGTATGAAATGAGGAACTTTAAAAATGAAGAATTCAGTGTGGTGGTTCACACCTGTAATCCTAGCTACTCAAGAAGTAGAAGTCAGGAGGATTGCAATTCTAGGTCAGCCCTGGCAAAAATTAATGAGACCCCATTTCAGCTGGGCATGGTGGTATATGCCTGTAATTCCAACTACACGGGAAGTGTAAATGGGAGGATCGTTATCCAGGTCAGCCCAGCAAAAAGTGAGCCCCTGTTCTAAAAGTAATGAAAGCAAAAGGCTGGGGGCATTGGTCTCCTGACAGAGTACCTGTTTAGCAAGCTCAAGACCCTGAATTCAAATCTCAGTACTGCACCCCCCCCCAAAAAAGAGAAAAATGGAGAATTAATTATATAAAATGCTTGACCAGGAGCAGTGAAACTATTTTAACAAAGTAAAATCTAAATAACCATGTTTATAAAACAGCAGAAATTATAAAACATGTTAAGTGGAATTATTGAAAAATAATTTTGATCTAAAATACATCATCAAAAATTCAAATGAGCTGGGTTTGGGAGATTGAGGTAGGAGGAGAATGGAGAGATCTAGGCTGATTATAGCAAGTTTAAGACTACCCTGGGCTATGTAGTTAGACCCTGTCTCAAAAAAAATTGAAATGAGCTGTGTAGTGACAAAAACCTGTATTCCCAGATATTCCAGAGTCAGAGACAAAAGGATTATGAGGTCAAAGCTAGCCCAAAGTTAGCCAAACTGTATTTTGAAACAAAAGGGCTGGAGACTTGAGTCAAGTAGGGAACTCTTGCCTAGCATGCCCCAGACCCTAGGTTCAATCTCCTGCACAAAAAGAAAAAATTAAAAAAAGAAAAAAGAAAAAAAATTAACCCAGGGGTAAAGGTTAAATTTTTAAATGTGTGTGAGGAGCGGATTATGAGAAGCCTATGAGAACTTGACATAAGCATAGCTGTGTCCAATAATTGGTAGGCTTGAGTTTGGCATGGTCCCAGCTGCAGAGTGCAAAATGCAGCACAGCTGCTTTTCCTAAGTTGTTTTATGTTCAGAGAAAGAAGTAGGAAAGCAGGTTTCTCTTGTTACAGTGTCACGCCCCTCCCCAAGAAGTGTTGCTCCACCTCCTTGTTTACCACTAGATATAAAAGACTCCCTGAAGGAGGATGCAAGGTTTTTTGCTGGGGGATTGATGGAAGGTTTTTTTGATGGGGATTTTTGATTGGCTGCTGCTGCTGCTTCTGCTGGCCATATGTCTCCACTAGGGCAGCTTTCTGCACCAAGAACTTTATACATAGGCTTTAGAAAAGCTAAGCTAAAGAGAACTTGAGACAGTGCAAGTCTAAGGACTAAGACTTAAGAGTTATGCTAATGCAGTTTTTAGACTAGCCTGCTGTTGTTTGTCTGCAAGTCTGAGCACCAAGACTTTAAGAAAGAACATGGGACAGTGCAAATCTGAGGGCAAAGACTCTTAAGAGAGATCATGCTAAAGAAAACATGGGACAGAGTGAGTCTGAGGAAAGAGACTTCAAAAGATAGAACAGAAGCAAGGTTTTAAAGAATTGTAAAGGAGTAAGGCCTTAAAGAATAGAGAATAATAGAGAAAATAAGCAACGAGGCTGTTGTGTGTCTCCATCTGCGTGCCCAGCACACCTGGCCCCAGCTTTGTCTTCTATCAGTTGTTCTTTCTACATCTCCCATTGCGCCCAGTTAGGTCAGGAGAACAAGGGAGCAAGAAAAAGCTTGCTCCAAACAAGTTTCAAATTTTTCTTAAAATTGAAAGTAGTCATTAGAATAAACATAGGATTTTAAATATTTTCTAAATTATTGAGGTAAGTGAGGCATTTCGGATAAAATCATATATAGTGCAAGAGGAAATGGCAAGAATGCCCACAAGGAACAGAAAATACAAGATTGTATAAGATCAATTATTGTGAAATTCAGGCCAGTTTTCCAAAATGTTCATTAATTGTCAAGGATAATTTGAGGCACTGGAATAGAGTATTAGAGAATAAATCAAAGGTCCTGGTTTCATACTTTTAACTTTCTGGTATATTATGTCCATTGGTAATAAGTGCTGTGGTGAAAAGTTATCAGGAAAGAGGAATATAAATGCTCTTGTTGTGGAACAAGTTGTTCTACAACTCTCAATGAGATAGTTGGGGAAAGTCTCATTGAAAAGCTGTTATTTGAGCAAATGTGTGAAGGGATCACACTATGCCCTGAGTTGAGAGCATTTTATAACAAAAGAACAGCAACTGTAAAACACTGAGTTCTATACCTTTGTAGCTTGTTTGAAGACTATAAAGGATTTGGGGTTGGCAGTAGAAGAGTACTGGAACTTTTGGTGTGGTTTAAGGGTAAAAGGTAGTTGGAACATATGGCGTAAACTTTTACAAGCCATTGTTAGGCTCTTCTTTCTTTGGTTTCACTTTCTTAGTTTCAGTTACCTAGGGTCAGCTGTGGTCCAAAAATATTACATAGAAAATTCCACAAATAAGCAGTTCATATTGGGTGGCACTCACTTGAGTAGTGTGATGACATTCCTAGCTGTTCTGCTTCATCCTGCCTGGGACATGAATAATTCCTCTGTGAGCATATGCATGCTGTATACAATACCTGCCCTTTAGTCATTTAATAGGGGTCTCTGTTATCACATTGATAGTTGTATCACAATGCTTGTGCTCAAATAACCTTTATTTTAATTCTGACCCCAAAGTACAAGAGTAGTGATGTTGGTGATTCTTACCTACCAAAGAGAAGTCATAAAATGCTTTCTTGAAAAGGTGGAAGTACAGTAAAATTTTTGAGACACTAACATAACTTTGAATACAGTATGTTACAGTTTTATTATTTTTTTTCTATTTTTGTGCCCAATTTACAAATTAAACTATTAACAGGTATGTATGCATAGGAAAAAATAGAATACATATATATATGGTTCAGTACTATCTGTGAAACTACACAGACCGAAATACAGTATTTTAAGTCATGTTTTTGAAAGATAATGTTAAGAAATTATACAGGAATGGTAAAAGATAAGATACAAAATTATGTTGCATGATCACAAATTGAAGAAAACTATATAAACAGGATAATAAGTATACTTCAGAATAGGAAGATTTTAAATGTTTTTATTGTTGAATTTCTTATGTATTTTCTAAATGTATTTTTTAATTGAAAGTTAATTTTTTTGTTCAAAATATGTTTTCTTAATAGAACAAAGAAATGAAAAAGAAGGTGTCAGATTCAAAGAAATTATCAGCTTTAAAGTAAGTGCTTCCATGTTTTCAAGTGGAAACTAATGTTCTTATGAATTAAATTTTAATTTTAAAACATTTTAATCACCATAACTATAGTTAATGGAACATTTAGACATCTAAATGTCACAGTGTTAGAATTGAATTACATTAAACTTTTTAAAATGTAAACACTTCATTGTTAGAATTTTTGTAGATCTTAGAATTTTTGAAGTTGCTGCTAATTTTTTCTCTTTTAATTAGAAAAGATGCAGATGTCTCAAAATCTATTGAAATTGTTACTTCAGCTTCTACTGGTAAGTAGCTACTATTCCTCCAAATGAGTGAACTTTGTCATTTTGCTAGAAACTTGAAAAATCATGCTAGGAAGACATTACTTATTGTGCTTTAATGAGAGGGATTCAAGTTCCTTTGTCTGTTTTTGAAGGTAGGGAGATATTTAGCTCAGGCTGGCCTCAAAATTGTGATCCTCCTGCCTTAGCCTCCATCCAGAGTGCTGGGATTATAACATGTACCATTATACCCTGCTTCTCTGAGATCTCTTACAGATCTGATTGTTTTATTACAAGCGACCCACAGTATGAAGTCCAAATTCATTAGTGTTAACATAAATTTCCTTTTTCCCACTATTACTTTTTCTACCTCTCAATATTCAGTTGTATGTTGTGTTTCAGCCACTCAAAACAGTTTATTTTTCAGCTCTGCCATGCTATTTTTATCCCTCAGTTCTTTAGTTATGCTTCTCGTTTGTGTGGAATTGATGTCTGATTTCCAGTGAACTTTACCTAGTAAGTACCTTCTTAATAGGTGCCAGGTGCGGTTCTGAAAATACAAGGTCAGTTACGACTTTTTTGGGATGGGATAGACAAATTCTAGTTCATCCTTTAAGGCGCATCTGAGATGAAGTGTCTTCACAGTACCTATCCTGACTTTCTTAGTTAGGAGCTCCCAGCTCTCTTCTAGTAATAATTTGTATATTAAATTACTTGGTATTAATAGTTCTCTAATTAGTCTGTCTCTCTGTTACTTTTATTTGTGGTTTTATTTTTTCATCCTTCAATATCTAATGTACCATAAAGGTTTAATGAATAAATATGTGCTATAATTAAGTCCACGGGCGGGGGGGGGGTGGGTGGGGGGGGGAACATGGTAACATAAAATCTTCTGGCTCATCACTCTTTAATTCAATGATATTTTTTTCATAAGATTTTATGACTTTTTCCCTTTTCAATTCTCACCTGAAAATTACTTTCTTTTAAACCTAATTATAAAAATAGTAGATGCTTATTGTTAAAAGTTCAGATGATTCAGAAAATGTTTAAAGAAATTGATTTATACTATCCAGAGATAAGATCTGGTTTAAAAAGCACTCTGCACAAACAGTTCCTGTATATGAGTTCCAGAAAATCTTTAAAGAAGGACAACCCTTGTTCTTTGTCAGCTATTCTGTACCATTCAGAGATAAGGAAAATTTCCTTTAAAGGAGGGAGTTGGTAAAGCAGATACTTTAAAGCAATAGGAGAAGGGGACCAGAAACTAGAGAAAAGATTAGTTCAAGAAAAATTAATTTAGAAGGTAACACACATGTACAGGAAAGCAATGCGAGTCAGCTCCCTGTATAGCTATCCTTATCTCAACTAGCAAAAACCCTTGGTCCTTCCTATTATTGCTTATACTCTCTCTTCAACAAAATTAGAGATAAGGGCAAAATAGTTTCTGCCGGGTAGCGAGGGTTAAGGGGGGGGGTAAGGGAGGGGGCGGGGATAAGGGAGGAGAAATGATCCAAACATTGTATACACATATGAATAAAATAAAAATTAAAAAAAAAAAGAGGAGGGAGTTGGGAGAGAGGAGACAAAAAAAAATGAGAATAGTGCTGATACCAAATGCCAACAGAGAAAATGACTAACTTAAAAAAAAAAGTTAATGATAGCACTTAATACTGTGGAAAAACTGATACATTGGTGATGAGAATGTAAAATAAATGATACATACATTCTGGAAGAGTATGGTATTTCCTTTTTTGGTTTTTTTGGAGACAGGGTCTCTGTATGTAATGCATGCTGGCCTCAAACTCCCAATTCTCCAGCCTCAGCCTCCCAAGTCCAAAAATTATAGGTGTGTACCACCATGCCCAGCTTGGAAGTTTCTTAATGGAACTAAACATGAATTTACCATTCTCCCTAAGAAGTTGGACTCTTGGGCATTTATCTCAGAGAAATAAAGACTTCACTTATGCAAATGCTTGTACACAAGTATTTATACCACTTTATTCATAATAGTCCAAAACTGTTAAGCCTATTAGAGAAACAACCCAAGTGTTCTTCAGTTGATGAATGTTTAACAGACTGGTACATTTCTCAGTATAAAGGAACAAACTATTGATTTATACAAGAACTTGGATGGATTATAGAATTATACTGAGTGAAAAAAATCAGTTTCAGAGTTTTATAGGATTTCATTTATACCACATTCTTGAAATAAAATTACAAAGCTATGAGAACATTTTTATTGTTTATAAGTAGTTGGGGAGGAGGTTGGTGCTATAAGGGGATTTTAGGAGAGGTCTTTGTGACACAGCTCTTCTGTACCTTGACTGGTGATGATCATGTGCATCTGCACATACGGTAAAATTTCATAGGACTAAATAGAGTTGATGATTGCACGCTAATATTGTGAGATTTGAATGTTGGTGGATTTTATTAGTCATTTTCCAGTATGTGATATTGTGTTCCAGCTGTGCAAAATACTACCATTGGAAACAAAATAATACAATAATTATTTTGTAATATCTTATCAGTATGTGAATTTGCAGTTATTAAATTACAAGTAGCTCTCATAATAAAACTATAAAACAATTGCACTTACTGATTTTGGTGCAAAATTCTCACATATTGTCTGGAAACACTAAATGAATAATGGACATAAGGAAAGTCATATTGGAAGTATAAAAATGGCCCAAAATGAGGAAATCTTGTTAATTGAGTTTACCATATAAAAAAGAAAACATAATGATTCTTTCTCTAGGTCCTGAAAAGATATTTGTTAAAGTTCAATATCTGTTTCTAGCATTGAAAAAAAAATCCTAAATGCAGACAGCTACTTCCTTAAACACAATATTGTGTTTGTGAAAACATACATTTATTTTATTTTTGAAATTTGTTTATTGTGCTAGGGATTGATGTATACTGTTAATTTACATAAATCCTTACATAAAAAAATAAACAGGTCAAGTCAAACTAACCAAGGAACACTCCTCATCCCTTCTCTGAGTTAACAGATATTTTTCTAAAATACAACATTTTTCTAAAAGATAAGTATGATGGAAAGTTTAAGAAAATCATTAAAAATGTTATCAAATGTAAATATAGTTAGCCTGTTACTTAATTCTCTAAAAATCAATGTTTGGACAGTTTACATAAGGAATAGCCACATGTGTAGTCTAATAAACTTTCAAGTATTACAGGCATCATATAAGAATTAAATGGAAAAAATAACTCTTGAATAGACAGCCTCACCATGATAAAATGCCATTTTTTATTAAATTAGCACATAAATATTATGAACCTAGTAAAAATATCAATAACATTTTTCAAGCTATACATGCTGATTCTAAAGTTTACATATAAAATATATAACGTGGAAGGATAGGCAGGAAAATGGTATAAAGGAAGAAAAATTAAAACAGACTATCCCAAACAAATATATACTGTGGTTGCATAAATATAGTACAGTATCACATACAGGAATATGACATTGACTGTTATAACATTAAAAGATGTAGCTGGGCACCAGTGGCTCATGTCTGTAACTATAACTACTTAGGAGGCTGAGATTGGGAGGACTGTGGTTCTAGGCCAGCCTGGGCAAATAGGTCATGATCTTAACTAATAGTTAGGCGCAGTGGCATGTGCTTGTCCCAAGCTGTGGAGGAGACTGAGATCGGGAGAATTGTGGTTCCAGCTCAGCCCAGGCAAAAACATTGTGAGACTTCATCTCAACAGAAAAAAGCTGGACATGGTGCATGCCTGTCATTTCAGCTACACCAAGAAGCCTAAAAATAGGATCACAGTCCAGGCTGGCCAGGGCAAAAAGTGAGAATATCCAAAAGAACCAGAGGAATAAAAAGGCGGGAAGCATGGCTGCCTAACTAGATAGATTGTCTGCCTAACAAGCATGAAGCCCTGAGTTAAAAATCCTAGTACTGCCAAAAAGAAAAAAAAAAAATTTATGTTAGTTTCATAAACAGAAAAGGTCATTAGGACAAAAGAGATTCCAGAGGTAGTCCCCAAAATATATCATCAGTAAATTTATAATGTTAATTTTTCACATTAGTGAGGAAAATTCAGTTATTCAATTGACTAAACCATTTTTTTACTTTTGGTAGAAGTAAAGCATGTATGTAAGGGTAAATTACGGATGAATCAAAGATTTAATGTGGAACATAGACTGGTAAAGGTATTGAAAAATATGGACAGTATTTTTTTTAATGTCAGCATAAGGGAGTCCTTCCCAAACAGGAAGACATTTGATTTGGATTACATAAAAGTGTTTTTGCATAAGCATTTTTTTACCTTTAAAAAATATGTTACCTATTATTAATTATTACCCTCTTAGTAAAGAAATCTAATAAATAAAAAAGTCACAATCCAAAGATAAGTTGGTAAATTGTATGAATAAGCAGATTACAAAGAAGAAAAAGAAATTTTTTTTTTAAGGTGACCCTGGGGTTTCAACTAAGGGCCTCCTGTTGGCTAATTATAACTAAAAAATTAAATCATAACTGCGTCGTCACAGAGAAGATTAATAACTTCTCATCAGGATAGGCTTATGATTTGCTATACTATGTGTGGAAATGGAAGCATCCCTCTTTCATATACTATTGATGGTAATACTAGTTGGTACAGCCTTTCTGGAGGATAGTGTAATATTGTTAAATTTTAAATATAAGCCTTCTGAAATATCAAGTCCATATCTAAGAATTTGCCCCCAAAATAATTCCCACAAAAATGTGCATTATAGGGATGTTTCTTGCAGTGTTCTATCAAAATTATTGCAGAGTAGCTCTTACGGAAATCTAAATGAGATTATATGTGATGTGTTATTGAAAAATTTTTCTTGTTATTTCAGCCAAAACTGGACAAACCAAGGTATCTGCAGCCAAAGTAAACAAATCTGCAGGTATGTTGTTTTTGTGTTGTGTGTTTGTTTCTTTGTTACAATGCTGGAGATGATGGGGGTGTGGGTAGCACATGATAGACAAAGTGCTCTACCACTGAGCTACAGCCTCAGTCATCTAGATAGGTTTTTGATTAGGATTCTAGACATATTAGTTAGCTCTAAATTATTTAAGAAATACACAGCAGCAGTCCTTGGGTTTCATGTGATGTAGTATGTATTGAATATACTCATCTTTGAGATTTATAGTCATCTAGCAGTTTTGGGAAATGAGATTTAGTAGATAATGCTCTAATGGTAATTATCAAAGTAACATAATTTAACTAGAGAAAGTATTTGTTACGATGAATATCACACTTGTTTCCCTTTTTCATTTTTTTTTCTTCTTTACACAATAGTCCAGATAGCAAATATCTCTGCAGTTTTTGTGAGTTGTAGTGGGTTTTAAATTACTCTTTTTTTTTTTTTCCTCTTTATTCTGACACGATCCTCCTTCTTTCCCTCCCATTCTGCTAAATGCAGGTTAAGTCAGGGTCATCATTCAGGGTCTTCTCCTATGTTAAAAGGAACAGAAGCAGCATTTAATTAAGAAACACTTTTTGGAGGCAGATCCAGAATATTCATGTAGTAGTTTCTTAAAAGCAATCATCTAAGAAGGTCAAGGATTGGTAGAAAATCTTTTTGAAAGTGCATTTATTTAACAGACTTTGATATCACTTTGACTGCAAGTGTATGGCATTCACTCATGAAGATTTGGTGGATTGGTCCCACTAGCCAACCCTTAACTATTGGAAATTATTGTTGCCTATTTTTTCCTTAAATTCTAGTACCCAAATAGAAGTAGTAAAGTGAATTGACTTGTGATAATAACAGGGATAATAAAAGAAATACCTTACTGACTTACTGAGGTTCAGTTTACTTCAATGTAGCAGAACTTACAAATTACTAACTGACTAGTTAGGTGACAACCTATCAGAATTGATAAAGTGGTTTTCTGTTATAGACTTGGTTATGTTCCAAGACCCATAGTCCATGCCTGAAATTAACTGTGGTACTGAAGCCTATATAATATATGCTGTTTTTTCCTGTTACATAGCTATAATGCGGTTCACCTTACATTAAGAGATTAACAACAGTGATGATAAGTTGTGTGAAGGTGGTCTCTCAGTTTTCTTAACAATGCATTTTTATTTAAAGGAACCACTTTCTGGCTTCTCTTTGGTATATATGAATTGCTAACATCACTACTCTTGTTCTTTGGAACCATACTTAAGTAAAAGAAGAGTTACTTGAATACAAGCACTATGATACTCAACAGTCAGTCATTGTGATATCTGAGTCTGCTGCTAAAAGTGTGGTTGTAGTTTCACAAGGTTTCTATTAGGTAGCTGTGACAATCCCTTGTCTATATATGGGAAAATGTGCACAGAAATACGATTTAATGCCCCAAGCCTGCGCAATTTAACTTGGAATTTACTTAGATCTACTTATACCTGTTTCTGGACTTTCTCTTCATATTTTGTTGATAGTTGTTACGAATCCTAATTTTCAGAGATAAATCTTTCACTCTCAGAATGGAAAGGGTTTCAGCTCTCTGGTGGTCTTTATTGCAGCTTTGATGATTACAGTTACTATAAATAGCATCATCAATGGAAAATAAGCAACAATAATTGCAGTAATGTGTAGCTAAAAAAGAATGGGCATAATATATAAATAATCTTATACAGGTAGGACACACTAGGAATGAGTCGTGCAATTTTCGTGTGACTTTTAGGTATTCTTGAATGCTTTTTTTGATGCTAGCTGTCTAATCTAGGGCTTTGTGTATGTGTATGCAAGGCAAGTACTCATCACTGAGCTATGAACCAACCCTTGGTTTTTTGAGAGAGAGGATCACTATACAGCTCAGGCTGGCTGTGAACTTGACATTAAGTCCAAGCTGGTCTCCAACTTGCCATCCTCCTCCCTCCAAGTGCTGGCATTACAGTTGTGTATCACCACACCTGGCTTATGCTTTTCAACCAACTGGGAGCCAAGGAATTGTGGATTGGCAGGCTCTACATGTAACTGCTTTTGGAACCATTTAAAAACAGTTGGGGATTATTTTTATGTCCTGGCAATTAGTAACTTAGCTTCTAGTTGATTATATATTCAGGGATTTATTTAACTTACCTTAGTGCTACTTTTCAGTACGTCAGCAGGGAGATAAATTCTTCAGAGATTATCGTTATTGCTAGATTTACAAAAAGCTCACAGTGGTGATAGCATTTTATATTTTGATTAAAATATGGTATTTTAATCTTAACATTGTTTCTCTGTGAGATTCTTTGGAGACTGATACTAGTTAAGTAAACCAGTTTTGACTGCAACTTTTGTGATTTAGGGAAGTCAGCAGGTTCTGTAAAATCTGTGGTAACAGTTGCTGCTAAAGGTAAAGCTTCCATCAAAACAGGTAAGCCTATTGGGGGAAGAGAGATTTTATTAACTTTATTTTTATTATATTCTTTCTTCCTTAAAGAAAATAATACCAAAAGCAAGTTTTGAATTTACATAATAATTTTTAGTATCTAATAACATCTTAAAGAGTTTAGTAGATACTTCTTTGATATTGAAAATGTGATCTAACTAGAACCTTTATTTGTTGGTAGTTTTTATTTTTGACAATATTTGCCATTAAAAACACATTTTTGTGCTTCTGTATGTCATAGCTATGTTTTGTGTATGTATACACACATACATACATATATAAATATTTACACACGAAGCTATATATCTGTAGTTTTGATGAGTATATATAGGCTGCTCCATTATTGCACCCTATAAATGGTTTAACCTTTGCTTTCTTCTTTTTTAGTTATTTCATAAACCTTTCACAGCTTATATATCCTTCTTTTTGTTACTTTAAAAAAGATTACTGCTTTCCATGTTAGGTGAATTCATTTTTTCTGTAAAAAAGGGAAACACTACTTAAAAATAAATTAACACATTGAAACTAGCGTGATCTTTTCAGTAATACCTTTTCTGATAGACTAATTTCAAAGAACCTTTGCAGAAATTCCAAAATATTTTGGTTTTTAAGTATGTGCTTCTGCCACATGAGGGTTGAATTTATGACTCATTTAAGGCCTTCAAAAATTGTATCTCAACTTAAATTTGCTTTTACTATTACTAGTAAACAGGTACTGAATAGAAATAGAAAGAATATATGGAAAGAGCTGTCTGTAATAAAATGAAGCTATTTACTAATGCATTAGTATGAAATATGCTGTATAATAAAACTGACCCTTACCCTTAGATAATGGTTTAATTCTATTTTTAAAAGCAAAATCTACAGGAAAGAGGTCTCTAGAAGCTAAGAAGGCTGGTAGTGTCAAAAACAAAGACTCCAGTAAACCTGTACCTGGTAAGCTTGAAGTACTTGTCATTGTCCTCTTGGTGTATATTCAAGGCGTATTTTGAAATATTCCTGAAAAATCCTCAAAAAGATTATTTTGTTTTTCAAAGAAAAGCTTTCACTTAAGTCAAATCTGCATAAGGAGACCTGAAGTGACAAATTAAGCTAACTTACATTGTTCACATTTATTAGTTTAATTAGTGTTTTTTTAGGCTATTAAATTAGACTATTTTATGCAGCAAACTCTGAAATAAAGACCAGTACGGAAGCCAAAGCCACTGAAAATAATGCCGAAGAAACTGTTTCAGGTAGGCCAATAAAAATTTTATTTTGTTCTCTTATATTTAAAGGTAGAAGGAAAATTAGCATTTTAAGAGAAAAGGTTCTTAATTTTGTGTGGCATGCATCTACATACATATCTACATGTTCTATGTGTGTTTTTTTTCCCCCAATACCAGGGCCATACCTAAGTTAAATTAATAATATTATGGTTTGGAGTTGGGAATGTGGTTCATATGATAGAGCATCTACCTAGCAAATGCAAGGCCCTGAGGTCAACTCTTAGTACTGTAACTATAAAGATACACCTAAATATCTATATAGTTATATTGATACATATCTCATAAATTTTATGAATGATTCATAACTTCACTCTGGATTATACTAAAATTTTACTCTCAAAAGCAATAAACCATATATATTATTCAGAAGCCATGTCACTTTTGTAGTTATTTCGTAGCCTTTTGTCAGTCATACACATTTTCATATAACCACTGTTTAATCCATTGTGGAATAAAGTAGGCTCTTGGTAAATATGTTTGCATGAATTTGAAAAAATAATCAATTTTTTTATTGTTTTTGGTATTATGAAGCTGCTTTGGAGGCCATAGAAAATGAACCAGTGAATAAGGTCAGTTTTTGTATTTGCTTTCTTAACCTAAAAACTTTTTTTTTTGATGGTACTGGATTTTGAATTCAGGGCCTCATACTTGCTAGGCAGGTGCTCTACTACTTGAGCCATTCCACCAGCCCTTTTTTGTTGTGGGTATTTTTGAAATAGGGTCTTGCAAACTTTTGCCTGGGTTGGCCTTAAGCCATGATCTTCCTGATCTTTGCCTTCCAAGTAGCTAGGATCACAGGTGAGAGCTACCAGCACTTGGTCTAAAAATATTTTTGACAAAACATATTTTTCTTACAAGACCCAGGTTAAAAATTAATAGTATTCCACATGATTAAACAGCCTAGTCATCTGTGTCTTTTAAAGTATGCTTTCAATTCAAAACCCTTGATTTACAAAAATTTAGGAGCAGATTTATCAATAAATATACATATTTTTGAAGATTAGTTTTTCCCTGAGAAAAACATATTAAGTCAGAATGGCCATTAGGGTAGATAACAACTTCTCAGATTATAACCGATATAATTTTGTGAAATTCTTTTTTTCCATTAGATGGAAATGTAACATATGTTAACATTTAGAGTATGAGAGCTTTTTTGCTTATTTGCATTTTTGGAGGAGCAAGTGGGACTTCCAGTTTTATTTGAAGGATATAAAATTATTCACTTTATTTTCTTGTGGTTATAGTTGTCCTTAAGAATATGTGAACATTAATTTAGATTTTACTAGTTTAGATTTTTAGATCACTCAGGTGCTAAGCATTAAATTCATTCTTCAACAAGTCATTAGGTAGTATGTTTTAATTATTTTAGGAAGAGTATTTTCTAGCACCAGTGCAGTACATTATACTCCTACACAACTGAGTTTAGGACTTACCATTACTTTATGAATGTTACAACTTCCAAAGTTCACCATAGCACATCTTTAGGGACTTTTCCAAAATCCACAAAAGGAGAAATTAGCTTGATGAGTCATTTTGGAGAATAAAAATAGGTATGAGAGAAGGGATGGATGGAGACAAGAAAGTACTTACTAGTGGGATAAAGATCCTTAAGGAGATTACATAAGTGGTTTTTATATTGCCTGAAAATGATTATCAATTCAGGAGGATAAAAAGATACACACGGATTTGGAGGTTGGGGATATAGCTCTATAAGTCATAGAAATGGCAATGGTACATGAAAGGAAAGAGCTGTAGTCAAAGATAAGTGAACTTGTGTTTTAAAACAATAGGCAGAAAAAAATAACCCACGGACCTGGACTAGGTGGCAGATGATACAACTGTATTTACTCTATATATTGGTCATTGCATTTGAAGTTCAGATTAACCTGAATGTATAAGGCTTTTCTCAGTAGTAAATGCAATTTAAGTAATAGCATTCTCATGTGAACTGTAAACTTAAGTATCAATATAAGAACAGATAAAGAAATTTTAATATCAATTTCTTAATTTGTTTTGAAGGAAACAGAGGAAATGTGTGTGGTACATATTTCTAATTTGCCTAATAAAGGATATTCTATAGAAGAAATTTGTAATTTAGTAAGACCATTTGGTGGTTTAAAGGATATTTTGGTTTTATCATCTCATAAAAAGGTAAGAATTGACTTGCTATCCATATTGTCTATAAGCACATTTTGAAAAACATTAAATTTACAACCCTAGTAAGGATTTAAAGTAGCATAATACTATTCTAAGCTAAGGGAATTTTAAAATGCAAACCATAGATGTCTTTTATTTTAGTATTGTCCTAATCAGACATAGTTTTAAAGAGGAGGAATAGTTTACAAATGTATCAAAGTTTTGTTCAAAATTTTAGTATACTAAAAATGTTTTATATCTAATATGTCAAAACTTTTCTTAGCAACTTAACAGATTTTGAAATCCCAGTACCAAAAAAAAAAAAAAGTTTTTTTAGACCATGCTTTTACTAGTCTTTCTTAATTCTTTCTGCTGTTTTTCCAGCAGTAGCCGTTTCCAGGCTCAAACTCAAGATGTTGGCAGTGCTTAGAGCAACCTGGGTTTATCTTCTATACGTATTGCTTTTGTAACTTTAAAACAGCTTAGTAAAATTTTATGTTAATAATAACAAACAACTTGTGGAAGTTATTTGTATGGGAGGTGAGCATTCAGGAAACTATTTAAACATTGGAAATGATATCCTTTGAGTGGTAGGAAGTAGAATTCTTAAAATAAAAAGGAGTTAAGAATCTTGCTGAGACATGATAAAAGCGAGAGCACACGAGGGAGGGGGTGAGGATAGGTAAGACACCTAAAAAATTAGCTAGCATTTGTTGCCCTTAACGCAGAGAAACTAAAGCAGATACCTTAAAAGCAACTGAGGCCAATAGAAAGGGGACCAAGAACTAGAGAAAAGGTTAGATCAAAAGAATAATAACCTAGAGGTAACCACACAGCATAGGAAATAAATGTGAGTCACTCCCTGTATAGCTATCCTTATCTCACTAGCAAAAACACTTGTTCCTTCCTATTATTGTTTATACTCTCTCTTCAACAAAATTAGAGGTAAGGGCAAAATAGTTTCTGCCAGGTATTGAGGTGGTGGGAGGGAGAAGGAGGGGCCAGAGGGGGTGGGGGCAGGGGGGTAGAAATGACCCAAGCATTGTATGCACATATGAATAATAAAACAATTAAAAAAAAAAGAATCTTGCTTAGGATTTTTGAGTCTAGAATATATGTTTGGTGATAATCAGCCAGTGTGCTTGTACAAACAGTAAGAGTAGAGTGAATACAAGTGAGTTGTTTTATACTAACTAGATTATTTGAATGGATGCATACCTCTTACAAAATACACTAAAGACCACTTTAAACAAGTGGACTTTATTATGTGACAGTTATATTTCAATAAATCTGGTTTTAAAGTAGATTATTTGTAATATTTAAAGGCAGATGAGAATAAAAAGGGTTGTATTTTTTAATACTGATTTTTTTAATGTGATAATACATTGAAATGGGAAATTTGAGTGTTTAGAAACAATTCATGTTGATAACTTTATATCATATATACCAAAATACATATCTAAGTACATAGATAAAGTAAGTGTAAAAAATAAACAAAAAGCCTAGATTATTATCTGCTCAGTTTTGGTTAGTGTTGAGTATCATTATTAATACTTTTCTGTGTATTACATGGACAAATACAGACTCAGTTACAGCAGTCTCCCCTTATCCATGGGAGCTACGGTCTAAGACACATAGATACCAGAAACTATGGGTAGTACTTACTTGAACCTTATGTATAATGTATATTTTTCCAGTAATATAGTCAAATTGAATGCCTTTTCCATTATAACTAAGCACTTAATACACACTGTGGTTGTAACTTTTACAGTTTGAGGGATGACAGCAAAAACAATCGCAAATTTCTTTTTTCAACTTTACAATTTCATAGATTTAAGATTTGTTATCAGCATAGATTTTAGCATCCTTAGCATGGATTTTTTTTCTTTATTATGAAAAGAACATTTTCACTTAAAGGAGGTACTTTAGGGCTTCTTTCACACCTATGAATTGTAGTACTGTTGTACTTGGGGGGCATTATGTAAGATAAACATTACTTGAAGCACTACAGAGATAGTTATTAAGTGACTAATGAACAGATATTATATGCAGTTTGGATATGCTGGACAAAGGGATCATTCACCTCCTAGACAGGATGACAGGAGATTTCATTACACCCCTCAAAATGGCTTGCAATTTAAAACTTAGGAATTGTTTATTTAAATACTTTCAAAATGAAGAGTAGCATGAAATTAAGAAATAGTTCTATGAAATGAAAAACAAAGGGTTCATACCCACATTATGTTATAGCACATTAAAAGTTCAATAAATTGGCAAAGAGCAGAAAATGATAATCATTAAAAAAAAATAGATGTACAACTATATATACATATGTGGGAGAGGGTTCAACTTTCTTTACTTAGATACAAAAATGGAACTACCATTTTATACATATGAAACAAGCAAATGAAAAATAACTGGGCAGTCATACACATTTCTTTGGTTGTTTCATTTCTCTACTTCTCATTTTGTCAATCATTACATTTATTTACTCGAAATATTTATGAAATGTCTCCTGCATGCATGATACTGCTATGATATTAAGAATGCAGTGAATAAGATAAAACCTTTCTTTGTAGTTAAAGTCATTTGACTCTGAAGTATTAAGTCTTTTCAAGAAAAATTAAATAAGACTTTTAAAAAATTGTCTAATTTGTATTTTTAAAGGCATACATAGAAATAAATAGAAAATCTGCAGATTCTATGGTAAAATTTTATACCTGCTTCCCAGTATCCATGGATGGAAATCAACTCTCCATAAGTATGGCTCCTGAAAACATGAATATAACAGATGAGGTAAATCATAGACTTAACACCATCATTTTTACTAGATCTCACTAAATTTTTTTAATCAGATTTATTGTATTGTTATGTTGTCTACTTTTCTACTTTGGGTCATATGTTTTTTCCTCAGACACAAAGAAAGCTTTTCCTATCTTTCTAATACTCAGTCCACTGTTTGAGAGTTCCTTTCATATTGAGGGAATCCTATCCCTTGTGTTTGTTAGATTAGAAAAAAGTTGAAAACTGTTGGGAGATAGTCTTCTAATCACTACACTTATGTCACTTATCTAAACAAATCCCGGACGTTACCTTTGGTTTTTCTTTCTCTCATTTTTCAGATTGTGTCCTTCAGTAGATCTTACCTATTTTAACTCTGTGAAATGTGTTCCCTCTTCTTCATCCCATCTGCTGTGGCTTCATCTCTTAAAAACTTCCATTGAACTACCAAAGTAATAGTTCTTTGTACCTTCTACCTATAGTTTTGTTTCCCTCAAGTCCTTTCTGTATAAAGCCATGTGACTGATACAAAATTCAAACTTACTCAAATTCAGTTTCATCCAATATAAAAAGACTTAATTAATGTCAATATATGGTCTCTAATGAGATTTAGAATCTCTAGGGGAAAGTAAGAAATGTAGATAATTTGAAAAAGCTTTTCTTGAGAATCACCCTGACTTGATATAATTGGTATTGTTTTGTACATATCAGCAGAATGAAAGAGAAAAGAACCATGGTCCCATAAGATAAAGGTTAAATCCCTTTTCTATATACAGAGCCTTCCATAGGTATCCTTTGCCAACTTTGACATTCATTTCTCATGCCACTTTTGGCCTATTTATAATTCAACAGCAGTAAATCGCTATACTATTTTTTATTTTCACATCTGTTATTCTTCAGCCCCTACTTTGTTTAGTTAACTCTGAATTATCTTCCTTTCATCTGAACTAAATCTTTTATTCCTTATATCTTTATTTGAGCATCCTCCTTAAATGATACTGCATATTCATCTTTAATGAATGTAGAAGAATAGGCAGAATTAAATTGTATGGGTATGGTGATACCTCAATAAGTTTTTCAGGAATAAGGAACCATTTTGCAAAGGAATCAAACTTGGTGCCTCATGTTATGAAACAATGTGTAATACATATTTCTGTGAGTTACTATATTACAAATCTTGACTAAGTATCTGAATAAGAAAGAGCTTACACCTTCAACCTTTATTTATTTTGGCTTTTTAGGAAGCTCTGTTTACAAATTTAATTAAAGAAAGTGACCCAGAGGTAAGTTTTGCATTTAAAATGCTTTTATTTGTTTAATTGAAATATTAATTAATTTATTCATCTTTTAGGAATTAAAGAAAACCTAAATAGTAATTTTAAGATAAAGGTGAAGGAGCTATCAGATGGGTCTTCTTGGTAAAAATGAGAATGAAGGGTTATTATAGTCCTGATGTGAAAAATTTTCTACATACTGGAATAGTAGCCAAATAGGTCAGTGCCCTGTTTGAGGATGTTTTGGGTAAATATCATGTTGATAGTAGAAATATACCTTTCATTTTAGTGTATTGTTTTACTGATTACTCAGATCTAAAATTGAGGCCTCACTATTGGACTTTTGATGTAGCCCAGTAGTAGAGTGTTGCTGCTGCGTACAAGACCTGATATTTAATCTCTTGTACTGGGTAGTGGGGGAAAAAACCTCAGTATTTTCATCCAGACAGTCATTTTCTCACTCTTGAAAGAAGACAACATACTCAGCTTCTGTAATATTAAATTATTGATAATCCGTGTTTTACAGTTTGGTGTTATAACTTTCTTTTTTTATGTTGTCTCAAAAAAAAAAAACCAAAAAAAAACCAGGCAAATACTGATAAAATTTACAACCGCTTTGTACATCTTGATAATTTACCAGAAGATGGACTTCAGTGTGTACTTTGTATTGGGCTTCAGTTTGGAAAAGTGGATCACCATGTATTTATGAATAATAAAAACAAGGTAACAAGTTCCTTCCCTCAGATTCTTCAGCTTTTCTGTAGATACTGGATATATAACTGAACCATATTTTCTTACGTGTGAATTTTTTAATACAGCTTCCAAATTGAAACAATAAACTTTTTCAACTATTTAGTGGAATTATGATAAACTAGGATATTTTCTCTTGAATGCTGACAAGAAAGAAGAAATGAACTCTCTTGCTCTCTAATTCTTAGTTTTTAAGGAGAAATAACATGATATGTAGAAGAAAAGAAATACAGTCCAAAGAGCATTATCTTACTTGGAAGTTTAGAACTACTTTTGTGATCTTAGCAAAGTTGTTTTATATGTATTTATAAAATGAAAGACACATTAGCAGATTTTTTTAATTGTTTTATTATTCATATGTGCATACAAGGCTTGGGTCATTTCTTCCCCCTGCCCCCACCCCCTCCCTTACCATCCACTCCGCCCCCTCCCTCTCCCCCCCAACCCCCTCAATACCCAGCATAAACTATTTTGCCCTTATCTCTAATTTTGTTGAAGAGAGAGTATAGGCAGTAATAGGAAGGAACAAGTGTTCCTGGTTGAGATAAGGATAGCTATACAGGGAGTTGACTCACATTAATTTCCTTTACGTGTGTGTTGCCTTCTAGGTTAATTCTTTTTGATCTAACCTTTTCTCTAGTTCCTGGTCCCCTTTTCTTATTGGCCTCAGTTGCTTTTAAGGTATCTGCTTTAGTTTCTCTGCGTTAAGGGCAATAAATGCTAGCTAATTTTTTAGGTGTCTTACCTATCCTCACCCCTCCCTTGTGTGCTCTCGCTTTTATCATGTGCTCAAAGTCTAATCCCCTTGTTGTGTTTGCCCTTGATCTAATGTCCACATATGAGAGAGAACATACGATTTTTGGTCTTTTGGGCCAGGCTAACTTCACTCAGAATGATGTTCTCCAATTCCATCCATTTACCAGCGAATGATAACATTTCATTCTTCTTCATGGCTAGCAGATACTTTGAGTTAATTTCCTTCCAACCATAAAACACAAGAGCTAGATCTATTTATTTATATGGGCAGAAGTATAAATAAAAAAATCTGGCTTCTATATTTAATACGTATCTAAGATATGTATTTATTAAAATTAGATTTTGTTTTGTTTTGGTTTTGGTCTTGGTCTTTTGGAGTAGCCCTGGTTAGCTTCAAACTCCTTCCTCCTCCTACTGAGTGCTGCGATTATAGACATGTGCTACCATACCTGGCTTAAAATTAGATTTAGTCAGCAATATATTACTTAGAAAGACAAGGCTTCATATCAAAGTTACTTTATTGTTACAAAGTAACAATGCTTCATAAAAAGCACATAATTGACCAACAAATAGATGCTAATTTCTTTGATATATTTCTTTCCTTTTTTTCTTTCTCTTTTTGGTGGGACTGGGGTTTAAATTCAAGGCTTACAAAGCAGGTGCTCTAGGGCTTGAGCCACACCTCCAGTTCATTTTGCTCTGGTTATTTTTGGAAATAGGGTCTTGAGAAACATTTGCCTGGGCTGGTCTAGAACCAGATTCCAATCTCAGCCTCTCATGTAGCTAGTATTATACGCATGAGCCTCCAGCACCCAACTTCTTTGATAAATTTCTAACTGATAGATTGTTACTGTAGAAATGACGTGATACAGGATGGAAAGCATATAGAGATTGTGCCTCTTTTTTTAGAGATGCGTATCCTTTTGCTTTTGCAATGATATAAGGAGTAAAATTCTCTTATTTACTTAAAGGTTAACTGTACTTTTATAATCATGTCTGAAGCCCAAAAGAAAAATATATTCAAATTATTTAAAAATTTGAGCAAAAAATTTTTATTGTGGTAAAATACACAGACTTTATTATTTGTAAAACAGAAATTTACCATTTTAACTATGTTTTTTAAGTATCAGTTAAGTGGAATTAAACACATTCCCGTTAAGCAGGTGTCACCACTATCCATTTCCAGAACTTTTCTGTCTTCTCAAACTGAACATTCTTGTCAGTTAAGCAATAACTCCCCCCACCAGCCCATTAGCCACCATTGTACATCTGTTTCTGTGAGTATAAATACTGTAGGTATCACATATTCATGGAATTAGATTTGCTGTTTGATGACTGTCTTATTTCACTTAGCCTGTTTCTAGGTTCACTGGTACCATGTATCAGAATTTCCTTTTAAAGGCCAAACAATGTTCTGTTGAATGTATATACAACATATTTAAGATCCATTCATCCATAGACAGTTGGATCACGCCTATCTTTCAGCTATTAGAAGTAATGCTTCTTTAAACATGAGTGTACAAATACATGTTTGAGTCCTTTTAGTTCTTTGGGTGTATACTAAAATGTGGAGTTGCTGGGTCATATGGTAATTTTACTTGGCCAGGGGCGGGAGGGGGGGAGTGTGTGCTGGGCTTTAAACTCAGGGCTTATACTTGCCAAGTAGGTTTTCTACCACTTGAGCCATACCTTCAGCCGTTTTTCCTCTGGTTAATTTGAAGATGAGGTATTGTTTTTTGTCTGGGCTGGCCTGGATCGTAATCCTCCTATTTTACACTTCCCACCATAGTTGGGATTACAGGTGCATGCCACCATGTCCAGCCTTTTCTTTTGAGGTGGTATCTTGCAAACTTTTTTTTGTTCCTAGGCTGGCCTCAGACTGCTATCTTCCTTATCTCATCCCCCCCAAGTAGCTAGGATTATAGGCTTGAGACACTGTGTCTTGTACCTTTAATTTTTTTAAGATGTGTTCATACATTTTTTTTTCCTTCTCTATAGGCAATTCTTCAGTTAGAAAGTCCTGAATCTGCTCAGTCAATGTACAACTTTTTGAAACAAAATCCACAAAACATAGGAGACCATGTATTGACTTGTACATTATCTCCAAAGATGGACTCACCAGAGGTAATTTTTTTTTTAATCAGGTTTTGTGAAAAGGCATAAAAAGGTTCTCCCCATACTGAAAAGATACACTTTGAATGCAATTTAAAAAATTATTCTCAATTAAAAAAAATGCTTCCTAACATCATAATTATGTTACGTATTTTGAAAGGAAAAGAAGTTACAGTGTGCTCTTATTTTAGCAAATATCAATAAATTGGAACAAAAGATTGTTGGGGGAAAAAAATTTATTCTCAGGCAGTGGTCAAACTGGTTATGAGTCTGTATGTTTGTTCTTTCTTTTTAAAGTATGTTTTTCAGTCCCAGTTGGAATTCTCATGGTTTATGGAGCTATGTACATTTATCTAAATGAAGTAATTTTGAAAAATGTGATTCTTTTGTTCTGATACTTAAAGACATGAATAAAGTGACTCTATAGATGTATCATAGTTGTCTCTAGAATGTCAAGGTTGCTTTGAATTCATTGTTGCTTCCTCTTGGGAGAAAGAATTTTGTCTTTAATTATACTTATTAGAAACTCTGTTCTTACATATGAAAACACATTTTAACATGGCCCTTGTTTACATAGAAGTACATAGTTACACATACAGAAAAGCTATGAATAATCTACCTTTCAAAGAATTAAGGCTCATGTTTTTCTCTTTTTAATAGTCCCATTGTATGCCAGTAGTAGGCAATAAATAATAGGGTCTTATATTTGATACTGTTGATTTTTGGTAATCTTGAAGTACCTGTAAGTAAATAATTAGAGAGTAAAGGAGGCCTTTGCTGTGGTACTACAACACCAACCAAGAATTCTTTCTAGGACCATTACTCAGTTTCTTTAAAGGATTATTCTCTGGTTTTAATCTTACAAAAACAGGCAGCATTCTTGTATGTATAAGCTTTTAAGGGTAGACATATTTGCCATTTTGATTACTGATAGGCTCTCAACTGCCTAGGACTGTGCTTGGTACATAGGCACTAGTCTTGATCCCATAACATTGCTTTCTTGGAGATTATTGTTCTAGCATTTCTAGATGTTTTAAGTAGGTAGGTTTTTTGTTTGTGGTATTTGAGGTGGAGTCCTCAAGAAGTTGCTCAGGCTGGTCTCAAACTCCTGAGGACAAGGTATCCACCTGCCAAAGGGTCCAACCTCCCAGGTAGCTAGAACTATAGCATGCAAAACCATACCAGCTCAGTAAGAAGCTTTATATATATAAATAAAAATACATTGTTTAAAAAGTTTCTCATTTTCTCAATATGAAGGAAACATTTTTCTCATTAATTTCTGTATCTGAGTTATGCTATACAACTACAACTTGATTTAGTAGTATTTAATGACAAAAAAAAAATTCTAGAGCCTGATATTTATGTGGACACTGAGCTAACTGCTTTCATATATTTTTAAGATGTAGCCTTTGTTCTTTCTTTTTAGCATATACTTTAACTGAAAACATTGAGTCAGTGGGTTAAATATTGAAAATCCAATAGAATAACCTGTAATAAAATGTGAATTCTATTACAGACTGAAACTGAGAAAGACCCAGCACTAGGAAAAGAAAGGTATGTTGCTTTAAGGTTTGCTAACATGTTTGTATTGCTATTGAATTTCATGTCCATATATTAGAGCAGTTGTTCTCAGGTAGCAAAAAGTTCCTAACTTACATGTTCATTTTGTGTATGTGTGAGTTTATTTTGGGTTCTGTTTCACATAGGGGTTTTGGTTGATAGTGTTTTGGAAAGGGTAGGGGTTGGGGGTTTTTTTGTTTTGATTTTTCATCCAGATTTGTACTGATCATTTAGAGAAAATGCATGTATAAACACAGTTTGAATTAAAAGTATGTAAGTATTATGTGTAAAATGCTTTGCAAAGACTTTTGAACAGTTTGAATCTATGGTCAGTAATACATGTGTATTCAGAGGCTGAAAGCTTGATTTTTGGAGTCACTAGAGACGAATAAACTTGTTTGACCATGTATAGTACACTCTTTCTTTAGTAACTTTTTCATTCTGATGTATAACCTCCTTGTTGCTACCTACTCTTGTCCCATCAGTAACCTACTTTTCATTGTGAATCACTGATTTAGAATATTTTTTTCCCTCTTGTGTACTAATTGCTGACTGCTATTTGTGGGTCCATGTTATAAGATCATGTAAGTTTGGAACAGCAGTTTAAAAATGTTTATAATAAATAACATGTTTATTTGGTGCACTAACTTTAAGATACCTGAAAACTAGAATGTTTCATGGATTTTTCTTCTCAGTAATTAGTTTTTGCAAAATCATATTGATCTGGATGAAAAGGTGATTATGAGTACATTAAAATATATTGGTAACTTGTAAACAATAGGTTTGTTTTATGTGTCAGCACATACTTTTTAAGTTGTACATCATCAAACCAATTATATTCACATGCCTAGGAAATAATACCATCAACAGTGTTTTCTATGAAAGTCCATAAAGGGCTTAATAAATAACAATGCCATATGTAGAAGTATGGAGAGACCTATAGTTTGGCCACATTAACTGTGACTAGCAAGTAAATGGGCTCTCCAAAGATTATTTTATGTATTTTATTTGACAGTTTCTTTGTGGTCTATAAGCAAAGCTTGTCTATAGCAGCAGCAATCGGTCATTGTCTTTCTTTTATTACTTTGACTTATCTTTATTTTTAAATCAAGTATATTTAACAAATTTATAGTTTTCAGTGTATCATAAAACTCAAGCATTAATTTCTTCATTCCCATTTTCCTTCAGTCTTTTCTGGCTTACATTGACATTAGAGGAATAAGATACGAGGTATAGCCAGAATACTTAACATTTCTTTTGGAGTAAACTAATTCCAGGAATACACTAGTGTTCATTTTTGTTTTTCATAAGTACTTGTGGTTGCCATTTTATCATGAATATGATCTTTCATTTATAATTAAGATAAACTATTAATAGATTTCCTAAATTAGAGGAAAATTTACATTCATAATTTTAACAGGTAATCCATACCATGCTTCTCCTGTCCTCACATGTAAACAGTATTTATTTGTCATGGAATTAAGGCTCCAAATAACAATTCTAGATGAAATTTCCATGATTCAGAGGTCAGTACCCATTAGCCTCTGAAATAAACAATCTTTAGTATTGTGAAGTCCCAGTCTTAAGTTTCTTGGGATGTGTGTCTTATAGTATTAACTCTTGTATTCATGTCCAGCTTTTATTGTATGCCTTTTGTGAAGGATTTGAAATTCTTATATTAATGAGGGTGTGAGGGTGGGGTAGAATAGGAAATTAGATATCTGTATGTCTTCTTGGAGTCCTTTTTTGTGCCATTTCCCAGAATAGTCTGTGTTTTCCTTTTTTTAATTAAAATAGCTATTTAACTCTGGTGTTAATAATGTTACTTTTTTGACATCTCAAACTGATATTCCAAACTAACTTGATTAGTATTGAGGCTTTTCCCCGTATTAATCAGAAAATAGATACTTATTTTTGGTAAAGATTTCTATGAAGAAAGGATTATAATTTTTAAAGATCAACATACAGGGGAAAATAAAGATTAAACTATTTTTTGAGATAGGTCTGTGTTCTCTTTCAAGTGTGGAACTACACAGGTAGTCATTTCGGGTTTTAATTTTTATAGATAACTAATTATTATTATTATTACTATTATTATTATACTGGGGGTACATTGTGACATTTACCAAAGTTTTTACAATGTATCATAGTGGAATTCAACCCCTCCTTCTATTCCTGGAACAGTTTCAGTAGGTCTCATTTGTCCATTTTCATACATGAGTACATAATATTTTCACCATATTTATCCTCCTACACTCTTCCCTTACATCCTCCCCCCAGATGCTCATTTTATATAAAAGATAATAGTAATTTTTTATTGACAAACTTTAAATATAGTTAAAGGGGAAGGTCTTCCTATATCCTTGAACCAGGATCAAGATGATCTCCATTGAGTCCCATGGATGTATTTTATATAGCCCTCATTTAAAACTTTAGGGTTAATATACAGTTTGATAGTGAGGCAGGAGTTTGAATTTATTATTATAAATGAATCTTGTAATTCAAAAACTAAGGCTTATATTCTGAGAAATATTCACATTAACTGCTGTAACTGTGAATGTCACAGTTGTTTCTTCATCATGTTTGTACTTGGCCACAAATTTTACTTTGAGTAGTGCTAAGAATTTGTAACACTCAAAATCAGCCCTTGGTATTTTCAATATAAGGGATGTGAATCATTTCAGGTGAAAGCCTTTTCAGCTTGCAAAGGGTACCCAGTAAATAGAATGCATATTACTATTAAGGTGTGTGGTAATTAACTGTTTATTGTCGTCACAACTTTTGAATAATAGCTGTTTCTCTGGAAAGTATTCTTCACAAGCTTATAATTATCATCCTTGAGGGAGAACCAGTTTATTGACTCAAATAGACCCCATTGTAGTAGCACCTTTTCCAATTTTTTGAAATTCACTTAGTGTCTTAGTACACAGATTAACATCACCTTGCATTGTTAATTAAAGTATATATAATCATTCTTTGAGAAGCATGTCAGAGGCTTTGGCGCATCCCTCCTTCCTTGAAAAATGAGAGGAAAAAAAATACTCTTTACTATAAGGTATTAATATGGGTGGTCACTGTCTGATGCCTTCCTCCTATCTGCTGCTTCTAATTAATCATGTGAATATATTTGTTAAACTTAATTTGTGTTGATAGCATGCTGGACATTTTTTTCAGAAACTGTAATGTTCTTTATTATTCTTTCTGGATAACCCCTTATCCATAGAACATTAACATAAAAGCAGTTTATTGCCTCATTGAATGTTACAGAAATATAAAATCACACACTTTTACTTTGGAAAGACCATGATGAGATAAGATTCACTACATATACTTGGCCATGCTTTTCCTTTACTTCTTCTGAGTAGTTGAAATATTATTCTTGGTAACTGAAAGGTTTTTAAGAAAACATATTCCTATCATCTAACCAAAGGTAAATGTTTTATAATAAAAGATTATATGTTTGTGTTAAGAGGTTCTATCAGTTTCACCTTTAACTTCAAATCTCTCCAACGATTATTTAGATAGATCTAAAGAAAGCTGTCTTTTAAGAATAATCATTAATAAATACAGTTCTTGAGAAATTAAAAATCTCTCTGCTTCCCCCCCCCCCCGTCCCCAAAAAAGGCGATATGGTTAAGTATGGCATTTTCCTCTTACAGTTTCTGTTCTCTTTAGGGTAAGATTTACTTACAAAATTTTAAATTTCAGTGTATAGCTCACTAGTTTCATTGTAGAACTATACAAGTTTTTTAAATTTCACTTACCACTGATGAGAGGGTAGAACCTAATAATAATTTGAGATATCTCAAATTCGCATTCAGCCTTTTGATGTCAGGTGCTAACTTGACCCAGGGAGGAAAAAGTTGGTAACTCACATGAGCAAAAGAAAATCAACAGTCATAGTTTTGCCATTATTTCCTTTGAATTAAAGAGAAATCTTCAGTGAGACTGAGTATCTCTTTTTAAGTTTTTACATTGTATACATTTACATCAGAGCATCTTAACCACTTGCTGATTGCCTGGATTTCCCAATGCTTACTACTAGTGCCTCAGGAAGTCTTTACAGTTGGCATCAACAGGATTACTTATAATGATTGAATGCTCATCATAGTTTGATTTTTGTTTGTTTTTGTTTGTGTTCTTTTTTGTTTGTTTTTAAATACTTTTAGCCCTGACTTGAAAAACAGTCCAGTTGATGAAAGTGGGGTGCAAACTGCAGCTGATAGTCCCTCTGTTAAACCTAGTGAGATTGAAGAAGAAACTACTCTCAGTATTCAAACAGAAACTTCAATACAGCAGGAAGAGGTTTGTGAGGAAGAACCTGAAAAGGCACTGTGCAACTCTGACTTTGCTATTGAAACATTGGAAATCGAAACTCAAGGAGAGGAGGTCAAAGTAGAAATTCCTCTTGTAGCATCCACACCAGCAAGAACCGAATTGCTTACCAAAAATACAGAAGAGTCTGCTTTAAATCAGCAGGTATATATCAGTGACTTTGAGAAGGAAGAAGGAAAAATTATGAACCCTGAACCAGAATTACCAACATCTGACATTGTATTTATAGAGGAAAGGAACATCAAAGGAATTTCAGAAGAATCTCTATCTGAAGCTGAAGGTTTGTTTTCTGTAATTACACAATCTATAGTAGAAGATAGAGCTGAAGCGGACAAACATGAAACTGTTTCAGAAATAGTACCGTCTGCTTGTGTTGTGACCTTAATACCAGGAATTTGCACTGAGGATGAGAAGGCAGTGAGCAAAAAGGGGATTTCTGAAAAAAGTAATACAGATGAAAAGGAGGAGAATGAATTTCATACCAAGGAAACCAGAATGGATCTACAAATAGGATCAGAGAAAGCTGACAAGAATGAAGCTAGGGTGATTGCAGAAAAACCAGAAAAGATTATGGTGGCAGTGAAAGAAAAGCCTGCAGAAAATGCTGTGCTCAAGGCATACCCAAATAAAGGAGTGGGTCAGACCAATAAGCCTGAAGAAACTGGTAAAACTAGTATGCTGACTATATCAAATATAACTAGCAATAAATCAAGCATCAAGGCTGCTGTGGTCTCTTCTAAGACAAAAGTTACAGCTTCAAAAACTGAAAATCAGAAAAGTTTTCTAAAATCTGTGCTCAGAGATCAAGTAAATGCTGAAAAAAACTTTTCAGCCAAGGAAATTGGTCTCCTTAAAGGTGCCAGGTCAGGCTTGGCAGAAAGCAGCATTAAATTCAAACCCACTCAGAGTGGTGTTACCAGAGGAGGCAGTGGAAGGATCTCAGTCCTGCAAGGCAAGGATTCTAAACTGGATTACAAGGACATAACAAAACAGTCTCAGGAAACAGAGGGTAGACCTTCCATCATGAAACGGGATGACAGCAACAATAAGGTGAGGAGAGTAGAAGAATGGCTCAGTGTATCTTTGAAGTGCTTAGCTCTGCTGCTGTAGCTATGGAGCAGGAGATGTAATCTTGTTTCATACTTTCATCTCCTTACTCTACCCCCAAACCACCTTTAAGAATTTCCCTTTCTTATACAATTACATTGATTTAAGCCAGTAGACATTCAGAGTATCAAGCTCAAAGTTCATATTTATTAGCAAGTTTGGAAAACATTACTTGGTCAGAAACGTAACTGGATTAAAGATAAAATTTGGTGAGAAACGTAACTATAGTTTAAAGAAAAAGTCTGTAGTGACTCTTATAAGGTGATCTAACATTGTCCTGAATGGGAAACAGTTTCTTCTTTTAAATTGAAGCTTCCTTTACCAGTTCACTGATTGTCCAGCTTAAAGAGACTGTGGCTATAGGGGGGAAAAGATCTGTAAAACTAAATTTAACTACAACCTTCAGAGACTGTTACATGATTATTGATTTACTTGTGTATAATTGTTAAATAGTTGCATAATTGACTGTATTTGGATATTTGCTGTTTAAATTCATGTTTCTCTTTTCTTCTCTTCCTTCTTTCTTCCTTCTCTCTCAACATTAATAACCTGGGTATAAATTCTGTTTTTCTGTATTTCTTAATATTTCAGGCCTTGGCTGGGCAAAGCACTAAGAATTCTAAAAACACTACTGGTAGAAGTTCCAAATCTAAAGAGGTAAAAAATAATTCATTAACCCATCATTTCCATCCTTCCATAGCAGAATTCATCTGTCTTGTATTTGTGTCTGCTTTGTAATAATACAAATGTTTAGAGAGTGAAAGATAAACAAGGGATAGGAATGAAATATTTCATTAGTGGTTGACCACTAATTCCTTTTGTCTTTATCTTGAAGTATGCTAAATAGTTTGTTATTATTTGTACTAGTAATTAATCACTGATAGTATACTAAATATAGGAGCCTTGCTGGGAATTTTATTTTTTTTTATTGTAGGCATAATTTTTCAAATTATAGGTAATTTTAAATACAATTAATTATCTTAGTTATTAAATTTAAGTAATACTTTTTTCAAGTAATTTTCTCAAAATGTAAACTATATGTTAGCATTGTATAAGTTAAAGTATGTAATAAATTGATGAATGAAACAATGTAGTTAGCTATTTACTTCCTACCTATATTTGAGGTGCTTTTAAAAGTTTAGTAAGTCTCCTAGAGCACTTGTTAGATATGTAACATATGAAATAGTAAATTATATTAATTGTTTTGAGAAGTGCTTAAATGTAATATTTTTATGCCAGTATATTTCAAAACAACATTTAGGAAAAAATGGTAATCATAAAATGATACAAAAGTGGAACTAAGCTCTTAGGATTACCTCTGGCATTTACTTTGAATTATAATTTATTTGTAGGACCTCAAAAAACCCAAACTTTATTTTAGTCTAGGAAATTGCAGTGTAATTCTCACAAATGATCTGACTATGATGTGAGTATTTGGAACCTAGCCAATTGTCAGTAGTTGTTCACAACACTGATTTTTAACTCCCCAACAGGAACCATTATTTCCATTTAATTTGGACGAATTTGTTACTGTGGATGAGGTTATAGAAGAAGTGAATCCTTCTCAAGCCAAGCAGAATTCATTAAAGGGAAAACGGAAAGAAGCTCTCAGAAATACTCCTTCCTCTGAACTTAACTTAAAAAAGAAGAAAGGGAAAACTTCTATTCCTCACGGTGTTGAGGGAGAATTATCTTTTGTAACATTGGATGAGATTGGGGAAGAGGAAGAAGCCACTGCACAAGCTTTGGTCACTGTAGATGAAGTAATTGATGAAGAAGAACTAAATATGGAAGAAATGGTAAAAAATTCAAATTCACTTCTTACATTAGATGAATTAATTGACCAAGATGATTGCATTTCCCACAATGAACCTAAAGATGTTACTGTTCTGTCAGTGGCTGAAGAACAAGATCTTCTTAAACAGGAACGCTTGGTAACAGTAGATGAAATCGGAGAAGTAGAAGAGCTACCTTTAAATGAGTCAGCAGACATAACTTTTGCCACTTTGAATGCTAAAGGAGATGAAGGAAATGCTGTAAGAGATTCCATTGGGCTCATTTCTTCTCAGATGCCTGAAGATCCCTCTACTTTAGTTACTGTAGATGAAATACAGGATGACAGCAGTGATTTACATTTAGTAACTTTGGATGAAGTAACTGAAGAGGATGAAGACTCTCTGGCTGATTTTAATAACCTTAAAGAAGAGCTTAATTTTGTTACTGTTGATGAAGTTGGAGAGGAGGAAGATGGAGACGATTCAAAAGTTGAGTTAGCACAAAGCAAAAATGACTGCCCTACAGATAAAAAAGGGGATAGAAAAAAGAGGCTTGTGGACTCAAAGAAGACAAAACTTGAAGCCATGTCCCAAATGGGTCCAGTAAAAGAGAATGTTGTGGAAGAAGATCTGAAATCCATGATTGAAAGACACTTAGCAGGTAGAATAATTGAAAATGGTAGTTTTCCTATTTTATTAGGGGATTACATTTAAAATTAATTTGAAAATATATGTTGTGGCATTAACAACAATGTCACTCTATTGATATTACATAAGCCAACAAGTAAACAGGTATAGCCATTAATGCATATATATTACTGAGCAGAAGTTGCTCCAAGTTTCACTTTAAGAAAGGGTGACAAAACAGAAGACAAATCAAATTAGGACAAAATATGATATGTTTGTATTGTGGGGAAAACACAGCTTTTGAGAGCAGAAGGATGTTCACACTGCCAATTTTTCTTAAACTTAAAATTTAGAATAAATCAAAGTACTATTTTATTTTAAAGTGATATTTTTATGGTATAGAATAATAGAGCAGCTCACTTGCAGGATTGAGAGAGATTAAAAAAAAAAATCCCCTAAGAAAACCTTGAAAGATTTAACCAACTGAGAATAAAATACTGGGAAGGCCCCATAAGCTTAGGTAACAAGTTAGAAAAATAAGTATAACCTCCTTGAGAAAAGGTGATAGGGCAGAATAGTCAATTAGAACACAATAGGAGAAAGTGTTAACTAAACTGAATATGTTTTTACTAGAATTCTACTTAAAAATAGATTTCCTTGCTGTGCATGGTGACACATACTTCTAATCCCAGCACTGGGGAAGTGGAGGCAGGAAAATTGCAAACTTGAGGTCGGCTACATAGTGAGACCCTGTCTCAAAAAACAAAAAAAGAAATAGGTTTCATTCCCAAATTTGGGTGTCATTTGCAACAAAGTAAGGTATTAAAATTACTATTGAGATAACGTAATGTGTTTAACTTAAAGCAACTTAAATACTGTTACTAGACCAATAAATTAGCTTTCTCTTTAAAGCTAAAACACCAGTGAAGAGAGTTAGAGTTGGAAAAGCACCATCCTCACTACAAGCTGTTGCAGCAGAACCAACAAAGGGTGAAGAGGCCTTCCAAATTAGTGAAGGTAAAGAGGATTGCTGGGGTGGTGAGAGGATTGCATAGCATGAGACAGTAGTGGAAATTTCAAAGATTACTGTCTAAGTAAAGTAGAAAAGCAGTGAAATAGAGCAGGACAGGAAAACAGCAAGCTTATACTTACTAGAATCAGATAAGATTTTATATTCCTGATTTAGAGAGATGGTGGAACATTGATAATCAAAATGACACATATTTGTGAAAATGATCCACAAGAGGTTATTCTGGCCATGTTGTAGCATCACGAGTAATTTTTTTTTTTTTTGATGGAACTGGAGTTTGAACTCGGGGCTTTGCACTTGCAAAATAAGTACTCCATAGTTTAAGTCACACCTTCAGTCCATTTTGCTCTGGTTATTTGGAAGATGAGATCTCGTGAACTGTTTGCCCAGGCTGGCTGAGATATCCTCCTCATCTCAGCCTTCCTAGTAGCTAGGATTACAGCCATGAGCCACCAGTGCCTGGCTAAATCATTTATTAACTAACTGTTATTTGTGATTGTTTTCAAGCAACCAACCCATGTATTAAACAAAACATCTCTGTAGAATTAAGTTGAAACAAGTAAGGAAGAAATGTCCTGTGAAGGAGAATAATTACTCACCAAGTACTTGTCATTGTGTCCACTGGATACTGATTGTAATAAAATGCTAAAAAGGGTTGAAAAAAGAGAGGGGACCTAATCTCAAGGAATTTATTGTTTCTGAGGGGTAGAGAAATAAATAAACTGCCAGTATGACAAACAGCACTGTAGAGAGTATCCCTTTTATTATTCTCTCTGTAACACCCTCCTTGTCCTCTTGTCTAAGAAAAAACTATCAACCGTAATTCACTTTAAGAAGTTCTTTGAATCTGTTCTCAGCTGGGCTGTCAGTGCTGCTTCCAGTCTTACTAGAGACCTTCTTCCTTTCCTGTTTCCTAACCAGGTATAATGTCATCCTTTTCTTTCTTTTCCATCACCAGTTCATTAGTGCTTTCATTTGTATTTACTAGAGCAAATGAAGACTCTCCCTTGCCTGCCAACTTGAATTTTACCATCTTTAACTCCTTATACATAAAACACAGTGCAGTCTTTCTCATTGGGGGAAATTCCTTAACCCTGGAATCCATCTAGCTCCAGATCAAAGCATCTAGAAAGAACTGTCTTTTTTATACCTTGTTTCCCATTGAACTGGATGTATTTTGGCTTTTCTTTACCACCACTCTGGTGGCGAACCCTTTTTGGGTTCTGGTCAAACACAGTTTTTAAAGTGTTTTTCTTAAGTTAGTACTTGAGTTTTCTGCATCAGTAGTTTGTTACTATTGCTCATGCCCTCTTGAAATTCTTTCTCGTGATCAAGTGGATAGTCCTCCTTCCTTGTATGTTTTTTTCTGCAACAAATTCTTGATACCCAGCTATAGTTAGTAGTTTAATAATCTAATGAATAAGCCATGTGTGGTGGTAGATACCTATAATCCCAGCACTCAGGAGACAGAAGCATGAGGATCTTGAGTTTAAGACCAGACTGGGCTACATAACAAGAACCCGCTTCAAAGAATAAAAGGACTGGTGTGGTGGTGTACATCTGTAATCCCAGGTATTGAGAGGCTGAGGTCAGGAGGATTGCAGCTTGAGGCCAGCCCAGGCAAAAAGTTAGCAGGACTCCATCTCAACAAAAATAAGCTAGGCATGGTGGAGTGTGTCTGTCTGTGGTCTTCAGCTGCGTAGAAGGTTTGTAGTCTAAGGCTGGACCCAGGCAAAACTCGAAACCATGTTTGAAAATAACTAAAGAAAAAAGAGCCAGAGGCATGGCTCAAGTGGTAAAGTGCCTAACTAGCAAACACAAAACCCTGAGTTCAAATCACCAAAAAAAAATAAATAAATAAAACAGACTCCTAGCATGATTTCTTGAGTTTGTTGTACAAGACTTTTTTAGGAGGCAGCTTTGCACCAGCTAGGTTAGAACTGTCTCATCTCAACAGATACAGAAAGGATAATTTATTTACTGCTATATAGCAATGTATTTCCATTAATAGACAGTATGTTTGACAAAGAACCTAGTTTAAGAAATGGTCATGTTTCACACAATTTTAAGCTTAAATGATTTATTCTAAACTAATTTAATTACTACCTATTTTGATACAATATATTTGTAATATGGTACATTATTAAGATACATGCGCCTTTGGAGTGGTAGGAGCAGACATGACTGAGAAAGTTTTATTACTCTTGTGAAAGAATAAATCTTTTTAAGAAGATACTGGAAGCAGAGAGACTGGGCTGTTTTATCCATCAAGTTGGGAAAAAGGAGATAGCTCTTTTTTTTTTTTATCCCCTTAAATAGACTCTAGGACTTGACCATTAAAATGTGAGGAATAGGAAAAGAGTAAGTAATAATTTTAGAGTTCCTAGCTCTGCAGTCTTGAGCAGATTGGGTTATTACTTCGTGATTTTGCTTTCTTTGTGACGAAATGGGAATAATAGGGGTTTGAGCAGCCTGTCTCACATAAGATAATAGCAAAATGACATATGTGTAAAAGGGATTAGCCAAGTACTATGCAACAGTAAGGTGTATCAGCTACTGAGAATAATTAGAATTGCTTAGAACTAGTTTCCATTTTTGTTTGTCCCCAAGATTACTTTATTCAGAGTCTGCTAAAACTATTTGTTACTCACTTATGGGCTTTAATATATTTTTTTTTAATTTTTATTTTTTTTATTATTCATATGTGCATACAATGCTTGGGTCATTTCTCCCCCCTGCCCCCACCCCCGGGGCTGTAATATTTGTAATTTCATTTGTGACTTTAAGCTAACCAGTTAGGCTCATTTTTCTAGGTTGGAAGGTCATCTGTGTAGGACACTGGAATTATTCTCTGCTTGTGTCCTTTTCCCCCAACTTCCACTTTCTGCTAAACCCAGCACCTTGCATACAACAAGTTAACTCTGCCAGTAACTACAGAACTTGACTTCTATACTGTTTAAACTCTTTCTAGAACTATATATAAATCAAATTATCTGGTGGCTTTAGCCCTGCACTCCTTAAATACATTTAATAAATCTAAATAGATTTATCCATTTATTTCTTAGATCAAGGAATCTTTTTTAGTGAACTTCTTTATTAGGATATATTCTTTATGCAGGGGGGATTCATAGTGACAATTCCAATTAGATTTATATTGTACATTAGTTACATTGCCCCCATTGTCTCTCCCTCTCAACCCCCTATATCAAAGAATCTTGCAGAATAGTGCATGGAAAGCATTCAGGTGGGATTAATCCAAGGGATGTTTCCTTGAGTTTTAAGTTAGTCTTTGAAGGTAGGGATTATGCAATATTAAGTCTGTAAATCTATTTTAAATAATTTCTCCTGAAAATTTTAATGACTTTAGTTGATGAGGAATCTGAATTAAAGGATTCAGAACCAGATCGAAAACGTCAGAAGACTGAAGATGACTCCTTAGGCAAGTCAGTGGTACCTGATGCCCCTGAAGGTAAAGTAAAAATGAAATTTTTTCCTTATATCTATGAGATGAAAATTCAGCACCCTAATAAGTGTTCTGTTGTTTTATGTGAACAGTTGTGTAGCTATGTTTGTTATTCCTAAAGACAGCATACCTAGGCTGTTTTTTTTAACCTGGCAAGGATATTTTTATTGCACTCAAAGTCCCGAATATATCTCCTTTTTTATTTCTGGTGCTTTCTTTGATGTTCTGGTAAGAATTGAGTTATACTTGCACAAGCAGAAACGGCAGTTTGAAGGAGAGCATGTTGAAAACCTTAGCTAGAAAACTTTGTTGATGAGCACCTAAAGTTAGACAAGAGGGAACCTTCTTGTTAGCATATTCTACAAGTAGACAGTTGCCCATCATTCTGTCTCTTCTCACACCTTTACTTACTTTAACACAGGGTATTCCTAAGGTGTTTCTTTTAGACTGTCAGATTCTTATTCAGTGAATTGCTGTTCTGAAGGATAATTGAACATTTCTTCATTATCTGAAGATTCTCTGTGGGAATCTATTTGACTTGCAGTCTACTAACAGTGGCATTCTGGCATTCCCTGGAGGCTCTGGAATATTCTAGAATTAGTTAAATAAAGAGGTATATTTTGTAATTAAAGTTATTGCTATTGATCCCTAAGTATATAGCAGTATATACACACTTGTATGTAAGTGTATACTGAGCTTAATGGTGTTTGTTAAATGTTTGGATAAATTGACACAACCACTGATACATTATTAATTTTCTTCCTTTCTCTTCTCTTTCTTCCTGTCTTATAGATTTAGACTTTCTTGTACCGAAGGCTGGATTCTTCTGTCCAATCTGCTCCCTTTTTTACTCAGGTGAAAAAGCAATGACAAATCACTGCAAGAGTTCACGTCATAAGCAAAATACAGAGGTAATATTTTAACATTTTTAAATCTTCAGGCACTATTGTTATTTTGTAACTGAAAGTGTCTACTCAAAGTGAATATTTTTCTCTTCGTGAGAACTTTATTTTTATACCAGTTTATTCCTCTTGAGTCCAAAATCCTATTTTTCTCCTTCCTTGTACCTTGCTAGTAATTTTTATCCCTTTCTCCTTTTACTTAAACAGCACCATTTGCCGGAGTAGATTTTGCAGATCAGTAGTCTCATATGACACTCCATTAAAGAAAGTGTGGAAAATTGCATATCCTGATGCCCTGTAAGAAGTCATATACATGTTAGCATATTAAAATTTCTGAACTGCCAGAAAGAATCTTGCTTACATCTTTGTAACCCAGTTTCCTAAACTGAGTTAGTCACAAAATCCTCGTTTTTAATTGTACACGTCTTTAGGAGACTCGGAAGTAACCATGGTTGAAGCAGTGGTTCTGATTGCTTCTGAATGTATGAGGTTGTTTTATGCATCCTTTATATTGAATCTGAGGCACAGACACCCAACATTTATTGTGCTTAAAGCGTTTTAATCCCTGGTCTACTTTACGAAGTAGATACTGTCATTTCAGTTTTAAAGATGAGGACACAGACTTAAGGAAGTTAGGTTACTAAACCCAGTGGCAGACCTAAGATTTGAGCCCAGCTTTGATTTATTCTAGACCCAGTCTCTGACTCATTTTGCTGTGCTCCGTGTATTTTAAAGTTGTTTTTTCTTATCATTTTTTTTCATTTAAAATTTTCTAGCATCTTCATTGGGCACTTGGAATAGTATACAAATTTATTGTGGCTCTCTAAAACCCTACCTGATTGGATTCTTTTCTGCTTCTCTGAGCTGTTTTTTTAATTAATTTATTTCAGCTTTCTGGCTTTTGTGGCCTATCCTGCCTTTGCACTTTTATGTTGCTATTCTTTTGCCTCTCACAACCCCATTTACATGAGTTCTTCCTCTGTTTTTGGTCTCACCTCAAATACTAGCTGCTAAGAAACAACTGCTTAAGAAAGACCTAGCTAAAGTAGAAAACTCCATCTTATATTTTCATAAAGGTCATGCTATAATTTTGTTTGATTATTTGCAGTTTTGGGTATTGAACTCAGAGCCTCACACATGCTAGCAAGTGCTCTGCCACTGAGCTATGCTTCTGACCCATTCTTTGTTGTTGTCAGTGTTTTAATTTTAGAGTGATTGCTACATTCCCAAATTACCTTGTTTATTTTTATTCTTTATTTTTCTCTCACTGTATAGTGTAAGCTCCATGGTTTAAAGTACTATTATCTTGTTGACCACTGAATCCTCAAACACTAAGCATATGCCTAGTATATCATAAAATGTTAGAAAACTGATGAATAAAAAGAAGTAATGTTCCTGTAAGGCACTGTGTCCTTAATCTTTATTTTGTAGGATCAGGCTCTTTTAAATTGTAAATATAACAAAAATACATTTGATTTGCATATATAGCAAAACACTAATAAGTGTTTCATATTGCAAATTGCTTTTAACAGAGGTTCATGGCCAAGCAAAGAAAGGAAAAGGAACAGAATGAGGCTGAAGAAAGAAGCTCTAGGTGATTGAGGGAAAGAGGAAAGAATTCATTAGAAATTCATTTAGGGTCCAGTTGATTTGTGTATTTTTATCACTTAATTTGTAATTTTTGTTTCAGAAACAGTCATGTTGTACAAATTTCTGATTGCCCTTGATGTAGAGAGACTGATGGGGAAAGTATGATGGGTTTGATTTTTATATCAAATCATCAGGCATGGAGAAATATCTTTGTAGACATGTTAAAATAAATGTTCCTACTGTATATTTAAAATACCGTGCTGTGTTTGTGGTTGATTTATTAAAGAGTTAACCTGCCTCTGATTGAAGACAAGGTTCTTCTTGACAACCCCTGTGATTTGGAATGTTTGGAAATTTTTCATGTATTACTGGAAGTCATAGCGTGATACTGTTTTACTTTGTTTCAGCCATCCACATATACAGGTCAGACATGTTGAAACACTCAGTTTTTCTAGATAAAATTATATTGTATTATGTTTGACCCAGGTAAGAATGTGTTTGGAAGATACTTCTTCTGCTTCTATTAACATCTATTTCTGGGGGGGCGGGGAAGAATCTTTTTTAATAAAGTAATACCTACAAAGTCATACGATATTTGCTTAAATCTGGAGAGCAGCCTTATTTACTGTGAACTATCAGAGGTGCTTTTTAAACAATTTGAGTTACCATTTAATATGAAAGAAATTGTAAAGATATCAAAAAATAGTTGAGTGTCTTCTAAGTAGATTATTGTCCTGTACTGTCAATTTTTAGATTAGGCCATACTTCAGATATGTCTGTTGATTTTGAGTATCATACCACTTCGCCAATAAGAAGTGACGATCAAAATCAGCAACATTTTGTTCCATCCACCAAACTCAGTGCACATCCAGCTCAGAGTTAACCACAGCCTGAGCAACATTGCAAAATACTACATGCCACAGACTAAGAAATAGAAGGAACAAGAGAGTTGGCTTTATGAGTGTCAAGAGTCTGTTCAAATTAAAACTGTAGAGTGAATGAGGTAAAAAGAGGGAGAGAGTTATCAAATGCCTGGAGAAAAAGGTCAGTAAGGTAAAACACCACAGTCTCAGAATCTTCTTTTTTCCTGGGCCTACTTCTGGAACTTTTCCAGCCAGGGAAGTTTTAAGCTTTAGTCTTACTTGGACCAACCTTGGAGAAGTGTGCACCTCTTACTTTCTTATACTTAATTACTTGGAAGAAGTCTGTTCTCTGCTTTGGAATTTGGGATCCTAAATTAGAATATAAGAAACTGCTAAAGCATAAAAGTGGTAGGAGAGTTTTATGTTTTATCTCAGTGATTGATATAAGCTAATTATACACTATAAATAATTTTCTCCACTTAATGCTTATGAGTTTTATCATGGGGCTTCAGATACAAAATATTTTTGCCAGGTTTTTAAAAAATAAACATTGATTCTTTGTGTATAATTTTCTAATTGTTCTTGATGTTTTCAGAAGACACTAGTAGTTTCTACTTACTAGTTGGTTAAATAGTGTAATTTAGATTGCAGCTTGCTTTTAAAGTTTCTGTCATTTATTTCATCATCTAGATGCCAAGCAAAAAAAAAAAAAAAAACACATGGCACTGACCTCTACAGAAGTTTCTCAGTTTTATTACCTGTTCTGTTAAGAATTCTGAGGAAACTTGCTTCCCCAAAACTGCTCCTTTGTAATTAGTTCTTAAAAAATTAATGCAAGACTCAGATTTCTCTAAAACTTAAAATATTTATTTTAATATTACTTGACTGTAGAGAATATCAAACATTAAAAAGACAGAACAAGGTAGTTTATCCTCATATGATTACTTAGTCTCAATAATTATCAACTTAAGGCCAGTCATTCATTGATACATGTCTACGTACAAACACATACACATATTCACATACATATATACATTAATTTTGTTATAATTATATAAAGCATTTTATATTATTCTGTTCATTATTTTCTATCATCTCCACTACTAATTCTTACATTATTTTAGAGTAAATCTCCATTATATTAATTTTACCCATAAATGTTACATTATGTATTTCTAAAAGGTGATGGGTTTTTTTTTTTGGCAGTACTGGGACTTGAACTCAGGGCCTTCACCTTGAGCCACTCCTCCAGTCCTTTTAAGTAACCAGTGTCATTAGAAATATTGCTTACTCAGGTGGATGCCAGTGGCTCATGCTTGTATTCCTATCTACTTGGGAAGGTGAGATCAGGAGGATCTCAGTTTGAGGCCAGTATGGGCAAATACTTTGCAAGACCCAGTAACCTGAGCAAAATGAACTAGAGCATTAAAGCACCTGCTTTGCAAGTGCAAAAAAACCCCTTGAGTTCAAACCCCAATCCGTGTGTGTGTGTGTGTGTGTGTGTGTGTGTGTGTGTGTGTGTGTCTTCTTATTTTGTGTGCTGCCCCTGAATCCAGATCCAAATAAGGTCTGTACATTATGACTGGCTGATAGGTCTTTTAAACTAGATAATTAAAAATACAGATTTTGGGGCTAAGTGTGGTTCAGTGGTAGAGCATTTGCCTAGCGTGTGTGAGGCTCTGATTTTGATACCCAAGCTCCTCAATATATGTAATTGAAGGCACTTCAGTATATAAGATAAAAATAGATACGAAGAGTTCTTAACTACTTTTATTTGTTAAAGACACTGAATACTTTGTTGGATATATTTGTTTTGTGAGAAATTTTAAATTTCATATTACAAAAGTATTCATGTGCACTGGATTGAATACTAGGGAGAAAAAGAAACTGATCAAGCTCATAGTTTGAGAAGCACTGCTGACAGGCTTCTCTTGGTCTGGATTTTGTTGATTGCAACCAGTAGTAGCTTTCATGTGTCTTGTCCTGCAAACCTTATAAATTGGTAATTGAATATAGACACTTGATTATAATTTCACTTTTTTTCTTTTTAGCAAGACTTCTTCGGGGGTGATGTGGTTTCCTGATCAGAAGAGACAGAATGTCTGATTATTGTCTTGTGAATTTAGGTAGCAGTGGATGCTTAATTTTAGTTCATTTACTAATTTGGAATTGCAAAACAGTGGTATTTTAATTGTCTTTATTCTGGCATTTTAATTCTGTTCCATCTTCATGTGTAAGTGGGAATGTTTCTGTGAAGAGTGAAACTGTCTGCTATTTGGTTGCTCAGGTATAGTTTGTGTAAGAAAGACATGGTAAGTACTTGATGCTTTTCCCTTTTTTGCCAGTTTTTTGTTTTGTTTTTTTCAGAATGAGTTGCATTCTTGACATCTACCAATAATGATAAATTTCCTTTATAAAAATATTAATATAAACCTGTGAATTACAACATTTGTTTCATACTATTGTAATACTAGCTTCATCAATGGGCAGATTGTCCCATTTTTTATTTGACTCCTCATTCCTTTCAACATGACACTATGAGGTTTCATAGCTTTCTTGCTATCTGTACACCAAGATGTTTCAGGATGTTCTGATTGAATGTACAATTCCTGCCCCAGACCTGAAGTCAGCCATTTCTTTAAGGAACAGTGGATAATTCTTCAAGGCTACAACCAACAATGATTACTAAAAACATTTAAAAAGATATCTTCAGTTTTGTTTTTTGTTTTGTCATTAAGCATATTCATTCAAATTGTAGAACTTTCATTTAGAGTAGTTCTTCTTAGTGGTTTTACTACCACCTGGATTCCTATCAAGACTCATTTGTTTAGCTTTATATTTAGAGGTTACTTTTTAAAATTTTTTTCTGTTATAATTACATAAAACATTTTATGTTCTGAAGTCAAACTTATAAAGATGTATTATACCTTTTTTACTACATCCTATATTGTTTCCCTTCCAAATATAGGTAATTTTCTTTTAATTTTGTGATGTCCTTTAAAAAACAAAGCAAATTTCTAAGTGTTGTCAAGCTTTAATAGTGATGAAGTCATCAGTGATCACATGCTTAAAATAGGAGCCACTAATGATAAAAATAGATTGATGCTGGAAAAGAGCCAAAAAATATCTTGCATATGTATAAATATAAGGAATGAGATGCTGAACCTTTTATAGATTACAGAATTTGAAGGAATTAAACTACAAGTTCTGTGAGCTGAAAGAAAGTCTTTTTGGTAAAATTTTGGGTTTGGCTTTTGCTTTTTTTTTTTAAGGAGTGCTTTTTATGAGATTACTTTTAAAGACTTAAAGATGAGAAAAGAGTCACAATATTCTGTACCAGAGTCCACGGAGAAAAGTAAGTATGACTCTTAGCACTTTGCTCTGACATCTATAAATCTCCATCAGAAAAACCTTTAGCACCTATATATAAGCTTCTGAGGTACTGAACTTAAATACATATATATGAGTACTATGTGAGCATATCTATATAAAACATGTTTTTATTCTTTTGAAAGGCTTGTATGAGAACATGAGCATAAAAAGATATTTGAAAGCATAGTCTATGCTAAATGCTTACCAAGTGGCATAGATGTGAAGATTTCAACATACAGGGAAGTAATATAAACGACAAAGGGGAGTAAGGTTAGAACATAAAATGGGATTATAGTGTTGTAAGTTTTTAACATTGTGAACTGCTGTAATTTTAAGCCAAGCCAGATTGTAATAATCTCTGCCCAAAAAACCCTACCACATCAATCAATAGTATGTAATTGATATTTATAGTACATTCCACCCAAAAGAAAAATATACATTGTTTTCAGTGTCCCCATGAAACATACAAGCCAAGATACAAACCATATTCTGGCCGTAATGGAATCAAACTAGAAACTAATAACAGAAAAAATCACCAACACTTTGAAAATTAAATAATGCACTTATAAATAACCCATCAGTCAGAAAGGAAGTCTCAAAGGAAATTTTCAAAGCTATATGGAATTGAAAGAAAATACAAACTCTGGAATTCAGCTAATGAAGATAGATCTCAGTCATCTCAGTTCTTTCCTCGAGAGACTAGAAAAACCATGCAAACTAAACCTGAAAAACAGAAAGGGAGAAATCATAAAGGAGCAAAAATAAGTGAAATTGAAAATAGGAAAACAAAGGAAACAAAAAGCTTGTCCTTCAAAGAATAAACCTCTAATAAGTTTGACGACTAAGACAACAGACCCAAGCCACTAGGAATTAAATATGGATATAATGCTGGGCATCAGTGGCTCACACCTGTAATCGTTACTACTTACGGTGCAGAGATCAGGAGGATCGTGATTTGAAGCCAATCTGGGCAAATAGTTTGAGACCCTATCTCAAAAAAAAGCCCTTCACAAAAAAGGGTTGGTGGAGTGGCTCAAGGTGTAGGCCCTGAGTTCAAGCCCCAGGACCACAAAAAAAAAAAAAAAAAACCCAGAACATCATACATACTAAAAGAATAATAAAGGAATGCAGCTCTATATTCAGATTCAACAATTGGAAGAAATGGTGAATTCCTCAAAATTGTAAAAGTACTAAAACGTGGCTAGATGCAGTCGTGGACTGGCATAATCCTAATACCATCAAAGATAATTGGAAATGTAATGAAACAGTCTTGAAAAGTATATCTCCAAGCCCTGGTGGTTTCACTGGAGAATTTTGCTAAATACCTAAAGAAGGATTGGTTTTATACAATTCTGAATTATATATTTCAGAAAATAAAAGGTAACATTACTCATGAATTTAAAAACTGCAGGACTGGTTCAGTATCAGGGCATTACTGTGATCCACCATACTAATGGACTAAAGAAGAAAATGATCATATCAATTCAGAAAAAGCATCCGACAAAATTTTCAATACCTATTTATCTTAAAATACTTAATATACAAAGAAAACGAACTTTCTCAGTCCCACAATAAACTTTGTGTGCTTTGTGTTACAGTGAAGCACCTGCTCAATTAAGTTATAAGGAGAAAAGGTTTTCTTATCTTAGATTTGAAGATTCAAAGGCGTGGTACTTAGGTCAGCTTTGTTCTGGCAAGTGGTAGATAACACAATGTGGTGAAGGGCATCTGTTGGAGAAAGATGGTCACATCTCAAACCAGAGTAGAGAGAAAACAATGGGTCCCATAATCACTTGCAGGATGCCCCCAATGACCTAGGGACTTCCCACTAGGTCCCACCTCCCAATAGTACCATCCTGTAGATCAAGTCTTCATCATGGACCTTTAGGTGACTCCCAAACCAATATAGAAACCATAACAAGGGTCTACATACACTAGTAGATAAAGTTTGAATCCACTCAGGGTGACTCTAGTCATTCTTTTATACTGCTGCCATTGTTTGTTCTGCTGGGCTTATAGTTCTTAGCCGAATATTATGTTCCTCACTTTGTCTCCCATGTTAGTCAGCTTTTCATTGCTGTTACAAAATTAAGAAAATCAATCTAAAGGAAGAAACAACTTAGTTTGCCTCATGGTTCAGAGATTGTATACAGTC